TCTGGGCTCCCCAGTTCAAGAGGGACAGGGAACTACTAGAAAGAGTCCAGCGTAGGGCTACAAAGATGATTCAGGGATTGGAGCATCTCCCTTATGAGGAGAGACTGAGAGAGCTGGGACTCTTTAGTCTGGAGAAGAGAAGGCTGAGGGGAGACCTTATCAACGCCTACAAGTATCTCAAGGGAGGGTTGAAGGAGGAGGGAGCCAGACTCTTTTCAGTGGTTCCCACCGAGAGGACGAGGGGCAACGGGCACAAGTTGGAACATAAGAGGTTCCACTCAAATATGAGGAGAAACTTCTTCACGGTGAGGGTGACGGAACCCTGGAACAGGCTGCCCAGGGAGGTTGTGGAGTCCCCTTCTTTGGAGATTTTCAAAACCCGCCTGGATGTAGTCCTGAGTAACATGCTCTAGCTCTAGGCAATCCTGCTTCAGCAGGGGAGTTGGACTAGATGATCTCTATGGTCCCTTCCAACTCTAGAAATTCAGTGAAATTCAGTGAAATTCAGTATGCTCCATGACTTAGGAATTCATTCAGTTGTGACCAAAGACAACCACAGTCTCTTCACCAATTTCAGAAGCAACTGTATTAAGTTCTTTACAGTTTTACAGAAATGGCCAATAATGATGTTACGATGTTTTTTTGTACTGTGGGTATTCGAGCAGTAGCCTAAATCTATCAGCTGGCTTCATCAACAGACAGCTACAGTCAGAGAACAATTTCACTGCTCACATTACATTTGACTTAGAAAAATAGAGTAAAGAAGACTCTATTTTTTATTAACAGGACCAATTTAAGACTAGAAAAATTCAGATCACATCAGAGCCCACCCTGAATCGGTGGTTTTGTATGGAGTTACCTCCAAAACCACTTTATCTTGTCAAATCATTATTTAGGAAGAAGTCAAGGAGGAAAAGAAATGACAGATGTCTTTTCTGAACCTGTGAGGTGCTGAGCTCTTTAAAGGAAAGTAAAAAAGTGATTAATCCATTGATATTTTCCAGCAATACTGCCTCTTCCTGTACTTGGGCTGCAAATGCTACTCATAGGAACGTGTCTTCCAGCAAGTGACACCCAGAGCAGAGACTCACTGGCCAACCTCCCGAGCTACAGAAATTGTTAGCAGCCCTTGGAAATTCTGTAGGCAAGGTCAGAGTGAGAAGACAGGAGGTAATTCTCTTTCTCTATAGACCTCTGCATGTTGTTAAAAGCTTTGTTTTGCCTTAAAATTGTCACCTGCCACACCTCCTGTGAGCCCTACTATGCTCCCCTCAAGCTTCAACAAGTCTCAGTTATCATCACTAGTCCATGAGTGATGATAAAAAGCTCCCTGGGGACACACATTTCCTTAAAACACCAGATTCCACAGAAATCATCCAAGTTCTGCATTGGCTCCAGCTTATTTAGTACATTTTGATCTTGGAAATAAAACACCAGCAAGGGCAGGGCTACTGATTTTTTTTCTCTCTTTTTCCCATGTATGTTTCTTCTTAAAAGATAAAAAAATGCCCAAGTAAAAGTTTGGAACGTTTTGGTCATCATTATTAAGCTAAGAAATCTGTAATTTAGAACTCTGGCAAACTGATTTTAAATTTTGAAGGAGAGTTTTCTATTTTCTCAGCTCAAACCTTCTCAATTTTGAGTTGGACATGGATTTGAAAAGGTAACAAATCTGGCTCACAGTGGGTATTGATTTGCACTACAGAGTGATTGTCTGCACCATGTGAGACTGGGCAACTGACCAACTTTGCATAAAAATATTGCAAGGAATAAGCAAGTAATATGACATACAATAAATATGACATAGGGCCTCCATTCATTAAATGTTTTACAGTACAGAAAGTCAGCATCTGAAACACATGACAGAAAGATATCAGTCAACACAGCAACTGCAAATTGTCCTTTTTTTCAAAAAAGCTTTTGGCAGCAGCTTGAACAGAGATCTCCTTGCCACACATATTCTGAACCTCAAAAATCTTACCTCACTCAATAAATCCAGCTCCGTTGCTGAAAGTCATAAGAAAAGTCGCACTTCCCTGCTGCCGTACGGAACTAGATCCAAACACAAACCCATCCGTTCCCTAAGGAAAAAAACAAATCCCATACACAATTCAGCACTTTCTCCACCTCTTCACAGTCTGTAGGTAAGTTTTCAATTTTTGAATTCAAGTTAGCAGAATGATATTCACAATTAAATTAGCTTTTCCAACTCTGAAACAAGTTTAATCCATCATTTTCAAAAACGCCTCCTACTCAAACTGTAAATGAGAAAAAGCTTATTATCCATAAATTTGGCTTTATATTCAAATTCTGAGTGACAGACTCTCAATATGCTTAAACTGGAGCTTTGCAAAGTACCCTTAAAGCGTGCAAAGTAAAAATGTGGCTATAGTTATTAAATTATCCTTAGTGTTTGATTATTTTATAGTGCATGCTAACTGCTCAGTAATGCTGGACCTTGTTCCACAGAAAAGTGTTTTTCCATAGATTCACTTGCATCTAAGGTAATTTTATAAGTGGTCTTAGAAAATTTCTTCTAGGATTCATCCAATTAAGCTCTTAATTATGATACCTTTTTTTGTAATATTTCTAACAAGGAACACTGTGTTCCCAGAAAGTTAAAGATCACAAAGCATTGAATTATGAAGTGCGTACATATATGCTTGTAACTACTCCCAATGGATTTTATCTGATACAGGCTCTTTTCGTAAAAAGGCAACTCACTTATAATCAATGGTTAAATCAGAATAGCCTCAAACAAACAAAAACAACCTGGAGAGTACATGATTTGGCTTCATTATATTATCCAGCCCTTCTTTAAAAGCTTTATTGATGATTTCTTGCTAAGCAGCCTTCAATACTTAGAGTGTGTCTATTGATGCTGTTATATATTATCAGGTAAATCCTCTAGAAACATCTTGGCTAAACAAAAAAAAAACCAAAAACAAAGTATTGCTGTGATAGACTACTTTCAAAAGCATTTTTATCTGTTTAATGGAAGAACTTCTTACTGAGGAATATACATTTATAATTTCCTCTGTACTTTCCTCATTTTCCTTTTATATTTTATTTCTTAAAGTCAGCAGTACCCAGAATTTATTCATGTAAGCTCTTGAATGGATTTATGTTAAGTGACTAGGCACCAGTGTTTCCAGATTCTGGTACAAGCTTCTTCCTTGTCTTGTCATATAACTTTGATCAAAGTCAAAATTTTAGGTGTCTCTACTCTTGGTTATTCATGCTGAGAAACATGGAGTGTCATCTCCAGAGGTAATGATGAATACCTAAGAGGTTCAATCCACTTCATTTGAAGCTTTAAGCGTTCAGCAAATCTGGAGAGAAAACCAGATTCAAAGGCAGAAGACTCAAAAAGTCATGAAGCATGCAGAAGGCACTGATTCTTCTTAAGGCAGTTGTGATATTAATGATGGGAAAGGAAGTTTGTACAGAACCTCCCTAATGATGAGACATGAAGCACACATTGCAACAAACAGGTTAATGAGGAAGGAAAAGACAGGGCTTCAATTCCCTTCGTATTTCTCTTTCCTGCCACCTCCAAGGAAGCTGTAAACAAGGACTTGTAAAATCAGGTCTTGATGTCTTTACATTTTTAGCTAGGAGAGTAGAGCAGTATTTCTCTGTATCATGTCACGCAGGCGTTGCAATGTTTGCAACATGAATTGGCCTCTGCACCAGGTTCCAGACTTCAGGTGATCAAACCACAACGTAATATACCACAAATGTGAGCAGTAATGACAAACCCATGTTCTGTGAGCCTCTGAGAAACCTTTCCTAAGGAGCAGGCAGCATTAAGATGACTTGGCGAGCAGACATCAGCAAAGCTGATGTGTGTGTGCTGCAAGACTCCTCCACAGAGAACCAGCAGCCTTGGCACTAGGATGGTTTTTATTCACCCCTGCCACCAGTGAAGGATGTGCCCTGGCACCACAAGACCCCATCCTCCCTCCACAGTGAGCACAGCCCTTTCTCCAGCACTCCCCCTCACACTCTGAGGTTGCTCTAGACCTTAATATGCCGGAAAATATAAGATAATAGGTCAAAAATGACTGAGAGGGGGTAGCTTTTCCTCAGGAGACGTGCACCTGCACCTCCCCTGCCACAGCGTCCCTAACAGCTTGCAGCCATTTACCAGAGCCGCGCTGCCTCGATGGCTGTGATGGCGGATCCCCTCAGGCGGGCGGCAAAGGCGCTTCCGCCACGGTACCCATCATGGCGGATCCCTTCAGGCGGGCGGCAGAGGCACTTCCGCCTCGGTACCCATCATGGCGGATCCCCACAGGCGGGCGGTACCAGCACTTCCGCCTCGGTACCCATCATGGCGGAAAGGAGCCCCGGTCTGGCGGCCGGTCGGAAGCGGAAGTGAGGTCTCCCAGGGTGCAGCGGGCGCGCCGGCGTTGGTTGCCATGGTACCGTGAGGGGCCCGCCAACATGGCGCTGCCCTCTTCGCCCCCCGCCCGCGTCTTCGCCGAGCTTCTCCCGGCCCCGGCCCCCACCCCGCTCCCGGTTGGAGGTGGCGGCCCTCCCCCGGTGCCATCCGGGCGGGAGGTGCACGTCAGCGGCAGCGCGGCGCTGAGCGCCGGCCCGGACAGGGCGCGGGTGTCGCTGCGGTTGAGCAGCAGGAAGGGGGAGGCCGGGGAGGCGCGGAGCAGCGTGACCCGCCGGCTGGAGTACATCGCCCAGACCGCCCGGCAGCGCGGCGTCCCGGTGAGAGCCGGGGGGGGGGAGAGATTCCTCTGTGGCGAGGGGCGGGCGGTTCCCCCGGGGGAAGGCTGAGGGGAGGAGCGGGAGGGGCAGCTCCCTTAGCGGCGGGGTCCTCCCGGCCGCCGGTGTCCCCCCCCTTCCCCCGTCCTCTACCCTACCGGTGACAGGGGCAGCGGCAGCCCCGAGGGGAAAGACGGCCGTTGAGGAGCCCCGGGGAGCGGTGTGTGGGTAGCGGAGGAGTAACGGGGGGTTGGGAGCTCTGGGGCACTGCTGTGGAAACCTGCCGGCCTTTGGGAGGCTGCGGCTTGGCCAACCTCAGCACAACAGTACTGGGCACTGGTGAGGCCCCACCTCGAGGGCTGTGTCCAGTTTTGGGCCCCCTACCACAAGAAAGACATTGAGGGGCTGGAGCGGGTCCAGAGAAGGGCAACAAAGATGGTGAGGGGTCTGGAGAGTAAGTCTTATGAGGAGAGGCTGAGGGAGCTGGGGGTGTTCAGCCTGGGGAAGAGGAGGCTGAGGGGAGACCTTATTGCTCTCTCCAACTCCCTGAAAGGAGGCTGTAGAGAGGTGGGGGTCGGTCTCTTCTCCCAAGTTACAGATGACAGGACAAGGGGTAATGGCTTCAAGTTGTGCCAGGGTAGGTTTAGACTGGACATTAGGAAATAATTCTTCACAGAGAGAGTGGTCGGGCATTGGAACAGGCTGCCCAGGGAGGGGGTTGAGTCCCCATCCCTGGCTGTGTTTAAGAACCGTTTAGATGTGGGGTTGGGGGAGATGGTGTAGGGGAGAACTTTAGGGTAGGGTGGATGGCTGGACTCGATGATCCCGAGGGTCTCTTCCAACCTAGATGATTCTGTGATTCTGAATGTCCCTACACGGGCTCCGTGGCCGGATGATTGTTTTGCGTGGGGAAACCATCCTTGCTTCGACTGTTTGGCAGGTGATACAGCATCCTCACCTGCGGACAGATGAGACTGATAAAGGGGTACAAATAACAACCTCTACATGTGTGTGTCGGCATAACTCTGTGCTTCCCATAGCTTAGCCACAAATGCCGAAAGAGCTTTTTCCTCCTCCTTTTTTCTTATTGCACTTAAGCAGAGGGAAAAAAAAAACCCGAGATGTGATCAAGATAGCTGAAGTGACAAGGAGCCCCTTGTGGACTCCAAAAGTTCCTGTGCCATAGTAATTTTTTTTCCTCAGGAAGTCATTTTGTCACTTGTAGTCTTGCCTTTAAAGCTTTGTCCACACAGAATCTTTGTGGTTGGAGGGACCTTTGAGATTATGGAGTCCAACCACAACAAAACCCCCCACAAACCTGTACATGTTCTGTAAGGGTGATGTTTGTCCTACCAATTGTGCTGCTGATGGTTTTGGATTTTATGAAACAATTTTGGAGAGCGTTCCACACCTAGGACTCTTAAAACAAAGCTGATCTTTTATGGAATAAGTGGTTGCTTTTGAAATTTACTTACCATTGAAGTTCCCCCAGGAAGCTTGTGCCTTTCTAGTGTGTTAACAAATGAGCTGGGGAAAAGGGAGATGGCAGAGTTTGTGATCAACGCCAAATTATTCAATGTAGTAAAAAACAAAGACTGGCAGGAGGGTTTCGTGATACTGCACGATATTACAATGCAATTCAGTATTAATAAGTGCAAAGTAAGAGAGTAAGTTACTAAACCTAAACAGTGCTGTGCAGTTAAAAATGCTGTATGCATTTGAAGGTAACTGCTGATCCCACCATTTTTTTCCCCCCAACAAAATAAGTTTTACTGTTTTCTTTTAAAACTGATAGTGTTGCTGTCTCTGTTTCTGTATTAGCTAAACAAAGCATTTTTTCAGGTATAAAGAAGGCAGTAAAATTGCCCCTTAACCCCTGACTTAAAAAAAGCTCATTTTGCAGCTCTGGGACTAGATTGGTGAGGAGATGTGGAGGCTGCTGTGGGCAAGATACGTGATCCTGCTCCCTATGTTTTTCCCAAACACATAGCAGGCTCGTGTCTGTCACGGGGAGCACAATTCCATGGCCATCAGAATGACTTGTGTGGTCAGAACCGGGGCGTTTTTGTATGGGAGTACAGGTTGAAAACCTTCAATTTCTGTTAAGTGAGTTAATAGGAGTTTTAAGTCTGGTGGATTTTAAGAGGAACAGAGGAAAACGAGGCAACTCATCATGCATTTGTTTTTATTAATAGAGAAAACACTAATCTTTGTAGCCACCACCGTGGTGAGCTGTCAGATGATGGCGTATTTTCATCCTGGCTGCAATTAAATAGCTCTTCAGAGCTTGGATAGATGAGGAAAGATAATTGCAGATACTTACCCTACAGTGAATCTGAGTGACTGACTTCTAGTTCTGACATGAGCCTGATTGAATTGGGGTAACACGGAGCATTCGACACAGGGCGGATGGCAAGCAAAAGGAGTTAGCAGGATGCTAGATAACTAAGGATCCTTTAGAGAGGCTGTGAGCACTACTCTAGGCTAGGAAAAATAGATGCAAAATTAAGTATGGACAAACAAGTGGTTATATTTGGGTATAACCAGTCAGATTCAGAAACATAATGGGAGCAGGTAAGCAGTGGTGGTGTAATCTAGGTGGAGAGTGGATTCTTTTTGCAGCGTCGAAGCTGTAATCAGACACCGAATGCTATAATAATTTCACAGTAATCTTTTGCTGTTTCAGAGATGCTATATGTTGGAGAATGAAAATGTTAGTTCTTTCTGCTTACTTGAGGGACTGTGAAATGCTGCTTAAGCTGTGGGTTTCTCGGTGTTAGCAAAGTGTTAGCTCTAGGGAACTCGGAGAAAAACAACATGAAGTTATTTTTTTTTTCAGAGTGGTTCCCTGCGGTATAATTTTTAGTGCTTTGTTCCATCCAATTTTAAATCACTCCACCGCTGGAGCTTTTATTTGCCTTGAAGCTTTTCTGCTAACAACTCTCACTGCTGGCAATTTGTTCTTAACTGCATTTGCTAACATCACTTGTAACTAATACCGTTCTAGACCACTGTAAAATTAATCTCTCTTCACAACCTCCATATGGTTCTGGTTGTCACAAGTCTCTTTAGAAATCAGCTGGCTATTCTATGTATTTATTTTTAATTAACCCGTGGACCAATTTCCTTAACCCTTGTTGTTGCTGTTGTAGGAAGTCTGTGAGATCAGAAGTGCGTAACCTTTGCAGCGGTAGGAGTTTGCATGAGCAGCTTGTCAGGATGCCTGGGGGCAGCACCTAATTTCCATATATATTTACACAGGCTTTTAATCAGAAATAGAGGCACAGAGTAGCATTTATTTATAGAGAGCTGTAAGTATGTGCAGCACTTCAGAGCACAGAATCTGCTTTGAAGGCTGCAGGGAAAGGAAAATCAATGGGGAAGCCAATCTCTTACTCAGCCCAGCTGCTCAAAAGTAATGTTTTTTTTCTCTTTCTCTAGAAGCAAACTGGTTTTATATTTACCACCTATGATTTATGTGGGGAATGGTGTGGAGATGACACTTCTTTAATCGCTGTATCTAACAATTGGCATTCGCCATCTTGTTTCAAAATAACAGCAATAACATTTGTTGTACCAGTCAGAGTATTATTTAACCAAATAAACAAATAAACCAGCTCACAAAACTATACCCAGTGGGCTCTGGCTTAGAGTTTGTCTGTACTGGGATATATCCTTGGATATGTGTGCAATATTCTCCATATTTCATACCTGTTATTTAGGACTCTCAGTTATGGATGCACATCCATACAGTCAGTTAAAAAGAAAGATTTTGAGGTTTTGCTCACTCAGTTACAAAATCTTGTATAAGATTTAGAATAAGAAAAGTAGAAACCTGCATAAGGCATCACCTTTTGTAGACTACCGGGTGTTTTAAAGAACAAAAATGCTATGTTGAAGCTGACTCTTTGGGTTGTTTAGATATTTTTCATAATGCAAAGTTATATTGGATATATCAGTCCAAATGTGCAAGTAGGTTTTAAGAGACATTTCCAAGTGCCCCCAGGTTTATTTATTTATAACTACAAATATCAGTGTAGCTCGCCACGAGGGTGCATTAGTGTACATTTCCAAACTATAAACACTTTCCCTTACTAAGGGAATGACTTCCTTCATTTATCCTCAATAACACATACAGCTACTGGCAAATCTTGTGGGATAAAAATTAGCTGCAAGGGAAGTTTTGCAATAGATGGCACAAAATGATCTTTCACTCAGATTGTGTTGAGCTTGTGTTTCATAAAAAGGTCTCACAGTTTTATTAACTCAGTAACCAGGAGCAGAAGATACAACTTTATCTGCAGATAGGCTTTTCTCATACTGTATTGTTAAATAGCTTGAAGCGTGTTTTGGCTAATTTATCTGTTTTTTCCTGGTTTTCCCTGGGAAGAGGGTGGACATGATGGTCCTGGGAGGAAGATACTGTTCAGAAGCAGCAGATGGGTCAGAGGAAAGGCTAGATAAGATCTTGTTCTGTTGAAAAGAAGGAAAATAGAAGGCAAAGCACAGTTCTAGACTCGATATTATAAGCTCAATGGGATATTGACTGTCTTTTTCCTTGTTGCTTTTTGGGTACCGGCAGCAGTGATGGTTTATGTCACTGGCTCAGATAAGAGGCTGTATAAGCAGAATGCAAGGGTGGTTAAATTCAATAGTTTCTGGGGTAATTGATTCATCACATAACAAACATGTTTAATTCTTTTAATTTTTCCTACTGTGATTCTTAGCCCTCAGATTTAGAAAATGGAGACAGTTATTCCAGAAATCCAGAACACCTCACACTTCACAAGTGTAGCTTTCCCTAAGTCGCAGTGAAAACTGTTTTTCCTGTGGCTGTTGCCATCAGATGGGTAGCTCCTCGGCCAAAATATGAGCAGTAGACACAGGCAGTAGGAAAAAAAACCCTTTTTCTTTTGATGTAGTTGAAGTCTTGATTCCAATTTAAAATTCTGTCGTCACCTCCCTTTCTTTTCCATATCTTTGTCCAAAACAGGCTCCTAACCAGGAAAAAGGTATCTAACAGAAGATGTATCACCTTGTTATGACTTAAGCAGTTATTTCGTTCATTTGTCCTCAATAACCCTACAGCTACTTTCAAACCTGGTGGGAGAAAAATTAGCTGTGAGGGAAATTTGATAATAGATGGCACAAGATGATCTTTCACTCGGATTGTGTTGATGTTGCTATAGTGCCTGGAGCCACAGGATGGCACTGTCCTTAAATACACAGGGACTTTGCAGGGAGCAAAACCAAATTAGAAGATTTTAATCTGTTCAGCAGGAAAGAGAACTTTTTTTTTTTTAAAAAAAAAAAAAAAGCCTTAAGGAGCAGGGACAAAGAAAAACAAATGCACTTTTTCTGTGATCACTCAAAAGTTTTATTACAGTATAGTTATTTTTGCAAAAAATGAGTTGTAGAAAAAAAGCTTTTCTGTTTGGTTATTTCTATGAGATCTGTAAGAGCTTTAGAAAAAAAAAAATCTTCCTTGTCAATTTAATTGGATATGATCATAAATAGTAAGATTTTCTCCATTTGGTAAATGAAATGAGTTGCTGGTGCTGGACTGACCTGAGCCCTCTATAGCAAACCACAGGCAGCCAAAGCACCTCAAACCTACGACTGCAAAAGGGGAAATATGGTTTTTAGGGACTAACTGGCCCTGGTTCCTTGCCCAGGGTTATCCAAAACCAGGATCATTGTGCTTGTATTCGAGCACTGCCAATCAATCATAAAATTGAATTTTCAAAATATGTTTCTTGTAGGCTGCTGCGCAATGGTAATTCTGGATCTAATTTCCATATTAGATCTTTTAAAAGGAAAATGCTTCTTTTGATTAATGTCATATTTCTGCATGTATGCTATGTGAAGATTTGATCCTCTGTAGGAAATACTCTGTCACCAAGCATCTTTTGAAATGTGTCAACACTGAAAGCAAATATTGTTTTCCTACGCAAATACATTTAATAAGTAAAAGTTTTTCAGTAATTGGAAGGCTTAGTATCTGCTTCCCTGCAGTTCCCAGGTATTAAATGCAAAGTTGTATTTACAATTAAATTGTAAACTCCGCTTTTGGTTGTGTTGCAGTAATTTTACAGAAATTGTTCATCCAAACTGTTTACCAAAGAGAGAAGTGGGTGAAAGAAATGTGATTGTTAGACCGAATATTTGGCTGTAACTGGAGTTATTCTGTACCTTAGTTAGCTCAGTATTTTATTTATAATTCTTAGGGGATATGCTGGTGCTCTGTGCAGCCGTGGTGTCTGTGGGGTAACGCAGCCTCTTTTAAAGGTTACCATTCTGCCAGAATACCCAGTGCTCAGTCCTTCTTCCCATCACTGTTGCTACAAGTCACAAATAGGGGCCTGAAAAGCACTTTTCACATAATAACTTTCTGAAAACAATTGAGGCTTCTAGTTTTTGGAAGCGGGTGAATTTACAGTTACCCACTAGCTAGCAGGCACTTTTAAGACCTCATTGTTCTCTTCCAGTGAACACCAGCAAAATTACATTGTAGAGCTACTGTATAATTTACTTTAAATGCCAAGAAGTCTTTAACATCCAGCTAGTTTTTAACTGAAGAGATTTGTATGGAAAATCCCTGATTTGTGTTGCGAGGTCATAAGTAATAAGGCAAAATAGTTCAACTTTTACAGGGCACAGCTTTTCCAATAGATGTGTACTTATTCTGTCTTTTAAGATTATATTTTTGTACTTTGTTTTAGGAAGAAAATATGACTGTAACAGAGGATTTTAGTAGAGTAGAAGATACTTATCAAATGGAAGCAGAGGTATGTATTCAACCTAACTAAAAACAATAATAAAAAGAATAATAAGGAAGACCCACGCTCTCCTTCGCCCTCAGCCCTTCCTGCCCTCAACTTTTTGCAAGGACTGACAGGTCAGTTCAGGAAGCTGCTCCAGTTAATACCTTTTTTTGTTTGTTTGTTTTTCCAGATTAGCTTTTTTTTTTCCCCAAATTATTTTGGCCCCCTGAACTGGAGGCAATGCAATGCAAAGGACAAGAGCAGGTGGGGGACAAGAGTGGGGTGGCAGCCCTAATCTAGATCTGCTTAAGCCACAGGTGAACAGCACCTGGACTTTGGTCTATTCTACACGACTCTGCCATCAGCTTGTTGCAAGGAAAGCAAAGCTAATTGTTTCCTAGGTAATTGACTTTGAATTCTGTAGGTAAAAAGTCCTGTGCGAAAGCAAAATATTGTGGGAATAATCACATTTACTTCAAAAGCAGCTCAGGGGAGTGTATTTTGGCACGTTCATGCTATAGTGAGAAATAAATGCTGTGCTGGAAACATTCACTGAGGGAAATGATGTGTTTTCAGTCAATGAATCTTTTTAGAGCATCAAACTTTAATGAGTACCCAGCAAATTTACAGATTCCTATGAAGTAAACCTGGGAGTCTGCAAAGCTGTTTTATAGAGCTGTTATTTACAATCCTCTAAAACAGGGTTCAGGCTCTTTAGTTCACTTGCTTGCTTTAAGGCACATTCTCATCTAAGTAACAGCAATAAATACAGAAATAATCAAGAATTTCGAGAACAAAATTTAGATTTTAAAATGAGTCTTCAGATATGCATCAGTGGCATGTGGTGGTGGCAGAACCTGAAAAATTTAGCCATAGCACTGCTGCTTTGGCTGCCCTGGACACTTCAGTAGGGACTTCTGGTTGTTGTTTATGCAGGGATTAGTTTCTCCTCGTTTCCCTCTTTATGGATGTACTCGTTTCATTAGTGCAGCTTCATAAACCCATGAAGTTCCATTGGCCAGTGTTTTTGCCTTCGGTAGCAGTAGAAATTAATTTCAAATTAACTTCCACTTGCTTCTTTACTGAAGAGTTTGCCATCATGTTTGTTATAGATAAAATTGTAGATGCCATGAATTATTTCATTCTATAAACTCTTTCCCCATTTGTCTACTGTAAGAGGGTTTAGAAGACTGAAGAAGTTCCCACACAAATAGCTATTTTAAGGTATAATTAAGAATTCAAGATACGCTTTCAACTGTAAGGAGATAAGTTTTAATTCATGCTGTAACAAAGGAAAAGACCCAGCAGAATGAAGCTGTGTGTGAGATCACAAAGCTCTGTAACGTCTTCCTCATAATAGTTCATTTATTGCCTGATGATCTCATGGGATGAAGATTATGTTGGGTTTGTGCATTTCTTCACGTGCTTCCCTCCTTATAAACAGTAACTTCTTGTCCTTTATGGCCTTATCCAAACCTCATAATGTCCATAAGGGTTTTGCATACCCTCATATTACTTTTTCACACTTTTTAAGTTTAATCATAATTGAAGAAATTGAATCATAATTGAAGAAATTGAAATGAAAACTCCGATTTTTTTGGGAAAAACCCAACAAAATTCACAGCTTATTTTCTGCCCCTGAGGGTACCTGATCACATGCTTCTTTTTTTACCTGTGAAGTCCTTGAGTGCCCAGACCTGCCCCAGTCGGAGCAGTTTATCTCTTAAGACCCACAGTTCTTTTGTTTGATCGTTCTTTTGTTTCATCCCCTTGAGGGAACTAATCTTGTGAAGGCTGAGAGCAATCTGGAAAGCATCTTGACAGTCCTCTCAGCGAGACAGCCCAGCTTTCCACAAAGTACAACTATGACATTTTTCTGGCAAAACAAGCACAAGAGGATGTATGTTTTTTATAGATGGTGAGAAACTCCCCCTGAAGAAAGAAATCTCCTTAGGCTGTGTATGAAGGAGCCCCCTCCTCTCTCACGGAGAGGTTCAGCTTCCTTGAATTATCTCGTTCCCCACACGGTGCATCGATGGTACGTGCACAGGAAGCTCCTGCAGTGCAGCCAACGTGCCAGAACTTGGATTTCTGGACCATGTACCTGGGATAGGCCCCTGTGAGGACCACAGCCATCACAGGGCTGACTTGGGGGGAGACTGGAACATCTCTCTGCTGAGGAAAAGCTGAGGGACTTGGATCTTTTTAGCCTGGAGGGGGGATCTGATCAGTCCCTATAAATACTTCAAGGGTGGGTGTCAGGAGGATGGGGTCAGTCTTTTTTCAGTGGTGCCCAGGGACAGGACAAGAGGGAACAAGTACAAACTTGAACAGAGGAAGTTCCATCTAAACATGAGGAGGAACTTCTTTGCTGTGAGGGTGGCAGAGCCCTGGCAGAGGCTGCCCAGAGAGGTGGTGGAGTCTCCTTCTCTGGAGACATTCAAACCCACCTGGACACGTTCCTGTGGGACCTGCTCTGGGTGACCCTGCTCTGGTGGGGGGTTGGAGGAGATGATCTCCAGAGGTCCCTTCCAACCCCATGTCATTCTATGAGTCTCTGATTGTTGGGGTTGGCAGTGGAATTTTCTTTACCACAGCTTTTTTTCTTCCCTTCCTGTCACAGCTGCGTTAGTGTGTAAAACTAAAGAGTAGGATAAGAGAGAAGGTGAGCCTGACTTGGTGCTGAGAGCACTGGGAAGAGAAGATGAGGGTTTAGTTCCTCTAAAAAAAGAGTTTGGGAGCCAGGGTTTCTGATTCTGCAATGCTGTAGCTGCTTTGCTCCTGGTGACCATGCTCTGCCATGGATGAAGGCTGGCTCCTGCCTGGAAAGTTGCCACTTGGCTGGCACTTCCCTGGGGGGTCTGGATCCGGGGCTGACAGCAATCCCTGCCTTGTAGCCCTTGGGAAATCCCCTGGCACATCTGTATTTAACACTTTTTATTGCCAAAGCCACGGATAGATAGATGTTTAAATTGTTTTTAATCTGAGTCTGAAGCACCCGTTCCCTGATGGGGCGACTGTGTTCAGCCAACACCGGGGTTTGAGCCCCTCCGAGCTGGTCTGAGCTTGGCTTAGTTTCAGCTCAGAGTTTAGGTTTCTTGATCCTAATGCTTGGAATTAAAATGTAATCATCCTTCCCACACAATGTTTTCCACGTCGTTTCGCTTGGGCTTCTGCGTAACTAACGCTGAGTAATCTAAAAAAGGGAAGAAGAACCCGGATGCATCTAGGCACGCGTCCCAAAGAGCACGTTCATTCCTCAAATTGTCCACATACCACAAAAAAGCATTTCTTAATCCTCAATTTTATGAACTCCTTTCTGTGGCAAACCTAACGATAGTCTCTAGGGCTGTATAAAAGTGTTCTAAGGAAATAAATGCTAGCGTTAGACTACTCCTGCGTGTGTTTAATTAGGTTGTACATGTCTGACTTTCCACACTTGTATTAAAATGAGTATAATCCTAGAGGAAAATTGCCAAAAAAAAATTAACTTGTGTGATGTCTGTGTTCACTCCCAGGTCTGTGTTACATTCAGTGATTTTGGGAAAATGCAGAGTGTTTGCAATCTGCTGATTGAGAAGTTGGGACCCTCCGTTACCGTCAGCCCACCTCACTTCTACCACACGCCAGAAGCCGCGGACGCCCTTCGGTGAGTTCCCTCCCACAAGATTTGCAGCCCCAGGTAACAATTAATACAAACACATCGTTGATACTGTTTGTAATGGGAGCTACTGGTTTCCTTCACGCCCATTAAAATGTATGTTCAATTATATCAGTATTTGTTTCAAATATGAATTAATGCCGTTCAGTGTAGAAGAAGCGGCTTGTTCTTTCTACAGTGTCCCTGTGCCAAAGCAGAATTAATGCTAAATATTTTCCCCCGATTTCCACTGGAACTATGATCTCCTGGGAATACGAAGTCAACAGGATTTGACTTCAGTCACATCAGCACGTGTAGGCTTGATTTGTATTTATTCAGGAAGGTACAAGGGTGTCACCAGACACTGGTAATTCCAAGTACCTTTGCCGTGACTCTTACCTGGTGACAGGATCTGAAGAGCACATTGTGCAGTGCTCGCTCAGCACTGAACCTTGCTACTTTGAAGCTCATGGTCTTGATATTTTAGGTGTTAATTATTCCAAGTCCTGCTTCTCCTATTGACATTGAGGGGACAGAATCACAGAATCTTCTAGGTTGGAAGGGACCTTAAAGATCATCTTGTCCAACCGTCAACCTGACTGACAAAAATAGACACCCACACAACAAACAAGGAGCATCATCACTAAACCAGACCTCCCAGCACTACATCAACCTGTCTTTTGAACACCTCCAGGGATGGGGCCTCAACCACCTCCCTGGGCAGCCCATTCCAATGGCTGAGAACCCTTTCAGTAAAAAAATTTTTCCTAATATCCAGCCTGACAGGGGGAAGTTTAATCTTGGGTTGGGTTTTGCCTCTTTTAGAGAAAAGAATCATGGCTGGTCCAAGAAGTAAACCTAGAGAAGAAATAAGATCTGATCAACATCTATAAATACTTAAAGGGTGGGTGTCAGGAGGATGGGGCCAGGCTTTTTTCAGTGGTGCCCAGGGACAGGACAAGAGGGAACGGGCACAAACTTGAACATAAGAAGTTCCACCTAAACCTGAGGAGGAACTTCATTGCTGTGAGGGTGGCAGAGCCCTGGCAGAGGCTGCCCAGAGAGGTGGTGGAGTCTCCTTCTCTGGAGACATTCAAACCCACCTGGACACATTCCTGTGGGACCTGCTCTGGGTGACCCTGCTCTGGCAGGGGGTTGGACTGGATGATCTCCAGAGGTCCCCTCCAACCTCATGTCATTCTGTGAGTCTGTGAATACTCACACACCCGTTGGCCCTGCTTGTTATCCTGGTGCCTCTTCTGCCTCCCAGCCGTCAGGTGTGCGTTGCCGCCGTTGGAAACACGCGGCGCAAAGCCCAAGAAGTCTGTCGCCTTTTTGGCCTGTCCTTGGGAAAACCTTTATTAATAAAAGAAGAAGAAACCAAAGAATGGGGAGGCCACGCAGAGGGTCATCTATCGACCTCCCCAGACTCGCTGACTCTGCAGCAAAGAATCCAGAACGCCACGGCTTACGCTTCGTGTAGAGTGTTTGCTGTGTTTGAGATAAAGGGAAAAGAAAACAGAAGAAACAAGTTGCTCTAGAAACTTCCAAATCCTACACATTTTCTTAATAAAATTTTTTTTATACTTTCTTGAGTTTATTGTTGTTTTTCTTAATCTTCTGGTAGCAAGTAGAGTTAAGAGAGGGTGTTAAGAATGACATTTTATGAAGAGAATAGTTAAAGTATCACCGGATTTACTTACTACAGCCCTCCCCAGAAATTTCAGTTCCTGTTTGCTGTTATTTAGCTCTGTCCCCTAAAATTAAGGTTATTGTTTATTCTGAAACTAGAATTCTTAACTGCCTCTGTAAAAGGGTAAGATACTTGATGTGCCAAACCTCGACTACTCCTGCCTGCAATGGGGCTGGATTTAAACCTTTCCTCCCAAATCTGGAAGGGAATTAATCCCCCAATTAAACATGAACCGCGTTTGCTTCTAACAAAACAGATTGTCCAACATAAAACATGCTTAGGAAAGTTTTATTTCATCATAGGAAAAATATACATGAGTTTTATTCTATTTTCTCAAGTTTAAAAAGGACAGATGTCTGTGTGTACGTCACACCTACAGCCACTTCAGTACTTCAGTCATGAGGGTAGATTTCCTTCAGCCACGGCTGCATAATGTATTTTGATCCATCATATCCACTGAAATAGGCTTTCAGGTCAGGGTGATGCACCTGAGAAAGTAATATTTCAGGTTGAATAAGCAACAGAATGAGCTTATAAATAAATACAGAATGAGCTTATAAATAAATACAAACTGATACTTAAAAGAATCAATAAAGTTACTACAGTTAACTTTTTGAAAACTCCTCATTAGCTGTTTAAGTTAAGAAAGGAGACATTATTCAGTCTGGGCAGCAGCTGTTGGAAATGCAGGACTGAGAAAGTGATATACTTTGCTAGATCCGGTAGAAAGAGATTAAATGATTCGTCCAACTTTGATAGGTCAGGGAAATCCTAAAACAAAATCCGTGTCTGCAACAGTCTGTATATAACTGCTAAAACACTTGTATCCAACTGGGCAGTTGGATACAGGCAGTACATGGGTTTGGTCATTTATCACCTTCCAAAAACACATACTCAGAAGTACAGGAGTAATTTGTTTCTCTGCTTTCTCTCTTAAGTTTTCACTAACTTAGATAGTATCTATCTAAGCGATAGTATCTATTAAGCGAAAGGTCAGCCAACTTCTAAAGGTGCAGGAAAACAAACATGTTGCAAGTGAATAAAAAATAAATACTACCTCTAATCCCATAATAATTGTTATCTCTTCCTCAGGAACGTAAGCTGTAGATTTGCCAAATCCATTTGCTTTGTTAATTAGAATTCGATAGTGAGGAGTATCTTTTAGATCCTGTAAAAACAGAAGGAAAACAAATAACCTCAAGGGGAGGTGATGACTAAAGATCCCATGATATCAGCAGGTGACTCGCCCAAGGCTTACAGAACCTAAACCCACTCAATATATACATGCAGGGACTTCAGTCTTATGATCTTATCAACATCAATTCAGAAAATTAAGTATAAAACAATCAAAACTGTAATATGTGAAGTTCTTGGCATATCTGAAACATTTTTTTTGGAGGCAAGATGTTAATGTATCCAGGTCCCTTAACAATTGGTTCCTTACCCTTCTTCCTTCACAAGTGGCAGCAGAAAATACCAGAGGGAAAGAGGAAACTTAAGGGAAATTCAGAACTTAACCCCAGCTCTGACAGTCTTCTGAGCAACTTCTGTGTATACATAAAAATCTTCTGGCCAAGAAAGGAAAAGTGCAGCTTACTATTATTTTTACAGTGCCTGTGGGTGCAGAATCTAACTTTGAAAACTCCCAAAATATGCCAGATGATTGGTATAAACAGAACAATATGATTAATCCTGCCTGGCCTTGAACCCCTCCAGGGATGGGGCAGCCACAGCTTCTCTGGGCAACCTGGGCCAGGCTCTCACCACCCTCACAGCAAAGAAGTTCTTCCTGAGATCTCACCTAAATCTCCCCTCTTCCAGTTTAAAACCATTATCCCTCATCCTATGGCTCCTCTCCCTGATAAAGAGTGTAGTAAATGATGAGGCAGAGAACTGAAAGTCATAGAAAGGACAGGGAAAAGTTGGGCTGAAAGCCTGGCTAATGCCAAGAGGGGATTTTTCAAGGACCAAGTTCCATCGTTGCCTCTTAAAGGCCAAAAGGCATTTTTCATACCCAATTCATGTAATGTGAAAAGGCAAAGGCAAGTTTCAAAAAAAAAAAAAACCAAACCAAACAAAAGGCACACACTGAACCCACGTGTCATCACTATTGAAATTAAAACAATGGGAAAAATGGAGAGGAGGAAAGGAGAGGAGAAAAGAAAGGAAAGATACAGGTGCTTTAGAAGCCACAGATGAGCGGCAGGTGGATAAAATTGCAGCAGGGAAGGAACTAAACTCATGAGTGAGTGAATTCCATGCTACAGCCAGAGTTTCTCATTTTTTCCTCATTTTCAGTCCTCTGACGTGATGATGGGTGCCTTCCCGCCACCGAAGCAGCGTGTCAGGGCTGTATTCTCAGAGCAGCACTGCCAGCAAAGATTTAGCATCTGATTTTCAAAAACAACAAGGGCTTTGGCTGGAGAATTTGAAAAGCCTCAAGAATTCTAACAAAAATACCCCGTTAAATAGATTTACATTCCGAGCATCCAGATCCCCAAAAACACGGCTTTCTGACTGAAATGGATTAAACACCAAGGATTACTCGCATTTCTTGGGTGCAATGAGGGTTGTTACCAATTCTGGATGATCAGATCAAAGATTTAGCAGCCTCTCAACTTTAGTAAGAAGTAGAAATCCACCCACTCAAACATTCCAGGTTGAAGCCGCGGGTTGTTACCAATTCTGGATGATCAGATCAAAGATTTAGCAGCCTCTCAACTTTAGTAAGAAGTAGAAATCCACCCACTCAGACATTCCAGGTTGAAGCCGCTACTTTAAATACAACCCTCTCTTTGCCACGAGGTTAAAGTCTGCCCGGGACAGTGTTTCCAAGGGGTCTTTTAACCCAAGTTATTCTGTCTATAAATAGATTTACATTCCGAGCATCCAGATCCCCAAAAACACGGCTTTCTGACTGAAATGGATTAAACACCAAGGATTACTCGCATTTCTTGGGTGCAATGAGGGTTGTTACCAATTCTGGATGATCAGATCAAAGATTTAGCAGCCTCTCAACTTTAGTAAGAAGTAGAAATCCACCCACTCAAACATTCCAGGTTGAAGCCGCTACTTTAAATACAACCCTCTCTTTGCCACAATGTTTCCAAGGGGTCTTTTAGCTCAAATTAATTCTGTCTGTGTATTAATAAAGCAAGAGTTTGATGCATTCAGACCTGTTTGGCTGGAGGGTATCTGTGCTGTAGCCATTCTGCTGGAGCTTTAGCTTTTTCATCCCATCCAACGATGACTCCCGAGTAGCCAAATCCTTTGTGAACCATTACCTGTCCCACGCTGAACTGAATATGTCCAGGCTTTGGACTGCGAACGTGAGTTGATTCTAATTTAACCAAGAAAGAGATTTAGCAAGGATAAGTGTTTGATCAAGTATATTAAACATTTAAACAGACATTCTCCTGCCTTCTACCAGAAGAGACGTGATAGAATAATAACACAGTGAACAAGGGAACAGGTACTTTGCTTCCCCTCCCCCCGTTCTCCTGCCTTCTACCAGAAGAGACGTGATGGAATAATAACAGAGTGAACAAGGGACTTTGGTTCCCCTCCCCCCCAAAGTTTACTATGATATTTGACAAAGCCAAGGGACACGTTTTTCTGTTTGTATGCCTTTGATCTTAACAGAGCTTTGGAAAACCTAAACAAATGTATATATTGACAATTACTTAAGCCTTACATACAATATTTTTCAGTGCTTACACACACTAACGGATTTTGCCATTAGTTTTTTCCAGTTTAGGTCACAAAATTCTTCTGTTCAGTCTGACTGGGGGCAATTTCTTTCCAGGAGCAGCCTGGTCAACTGTTTCTTTTTCCTTTTACAAAGTTGATCTAAATCAGTTTTGAATCATGTGAAAGCTCTATTGCTCTTTCATACATCAATGCAAAACAGGGACGCTCAGATCTCTTCAGTAAAACAGATACATACATATAGCAAGTGTATCATATCAGTACTGATACACAACACAGGGGAAAAAAGCCTTGGCTTTTACTTCTTCTGGCTTGCTTACTGAACATTATCACTACTGTTTATAGAGAAGGGGAAAAAAAAAAGAAAATAGAATACCATCTACACAGCAAGTCTAGAAGTCCACTATGGAAGACCTTATAAAAGATAGTATCACAAGTAAAATTCAAAGAGACTGCAAAAACTCTAATACCTGCAAAATAAGAATGGGTTTCTGCTTCATTGTCGCCAATTTTAGTTTCCTTTTCTCCATAGTACCAATTCCTAAAATGTAGAATTAATAACCCAACATTCAAACAAGTTCTTTAAAAACTGAGTTTTAGGATAATTGGCCTTCTGATTATTACTATCTTAAGGATTTGTCTGAGCAGAGGGATTCTGCAAAGCCTGTGATAAAAACTGAAGCGCAAACAGAACGAGTTTTGCATTAAAACTGCTTTTAAGGAATGCACAAGACAAAGGAATTTGTTCCAACAGGAGCAAAGACCTTAAGTCTGATTTCTTTGGCTAAGTAACTCGAAAGCTGCATTATAATTTTTGTATCAGAGGACACCTATTTATTTTCTACAGGTGAACAAATATTATTCCGAACTCCAACAGTGTGATTCTTCCGTATTTTTTATAAATTCTATTGTGAAATCTTTTAAGATCGGTTACCTTTAGCATTGAGAAAGGGTCTGGCATTAAGTCCCAGCTTAAGGCTACAATAAATATTAACTTCTCTTTCTGCACTAGGCTGAATTTCATGTGAATTAAAGGCGGGGACTAGGGGAGGGACATCTTGAAAAAGGGGAGGGGGGTTATAGGTTTCGTTTCCATCTTGAAAAAGAGAAAAGTGGAAAGAAACAACGAGCAAACTCAGGACTTGGAGGGGGGAGGAAGGGGAGCTTTCTTATTTGATATTATCCTTCTGCTGGCATTTTAACAGAGCAGTCTGTGAACAAACACATTTAACATTCTCCTCTCCTGTCAGTCAGCAACACGTTGGTGCCAAAGAACTATCTATCTGTTGTCCTGGTCTCCTTCCTCTTTCATGGTGTTCACCACCTTCCCTCTTTCAGTCTCACACCCCTGGCCCCGCCTGGCAGACACTGAGAGCAGAAAACACTTTTTTGAAAAAGTCTTGGTTTAGCTCAAATCTGTAGGAAGACTTAAGGCTGACAAATACCTGTTAACAAGAACAGGAATGAGCAAATACCCTGCCTTGTCAGACTGCGCTGGTGAAAACAGCAGCCAATATAGTAGGAAGGTCTCAAATGTCAATGTATTTTTAGGATAACCAATTCTTTGTAAGATTTTCAGGAGACACAAACAGCTCCAAAGGATCATTTGGTCTTTGAAGGCTTTATCTTTAGCAATGCCTGGAGCTTTCCACAAAGTTGCAAAGCAATTTATGGGGAACCTAAGAAAAGCACAGCTTCTCTTTCCAGCCCTATACAGTTCCCTCAGGGGCAAAACCAAGCCTGAACCTTCCACACTTCAGAGGACTTGACGTCCTTGATTATGGATCAATAACAAAGGACCTTTGAAGATCCAGGCAAGGTAAAACCTTTGGACTATTTCTATTCTACAGGAATTAAATCTCACAAACAAGCCTTTTATCCTCTCCAGACATGGTCTAGTATGTTTAGTTAGTTTGTACATATCTGATTTTATACTGATTTAAAGACAAGTCTTCTTAAAATGGCATATATATAAATGGCTATAATCTTACTTTTTCTAGACCAACTCAGTCACATGCCCAATAATCAAGTTTCCCTTCTTCCTAAACCCACAGATTTCCCATCAGTGTTTCCTAATTGAAGTTTACTCCCATATCCAGCATAAGATGCCCATCCCATGTTGTAGGATCTGATCCTCCAAACGTGTAGCTGCTTAAAATCATTAATATGGTTAATCATCCTGTCTTCACAGCTAAATGTAAAGTAGAGGATGGAACCCACATGGAATTACTGCCATGATTCATATTTAGTTTTGCATGAAGTTCAAATTGCACGTTTGTGTAGAATACGTGCAAAAGGTTTTCTTAAAACTGGCAGAAAGTCCCAAATTAGTCTCAAAAAGAAAATAAGAGACATTTCCCCCTTGTTACTAGTTTCACCACTACCACTATCTTCCTCTTAAGAGGCCACATTTGAGATGTATGAAGTGCAGACAGTACGTAACATCCTACCTTGTGTTTGATAGCCACAGCTTTAAACGATCTGCCCACGCATCCAGACTCAAGTAAGACTGTGTAAAGCTGCTCCAAGAGGCAATTATCCTTTAGTAGTAAAAATAATGATCACATTGTTTTAAAAACCTTCTACAGTACTTGTATATAATATTTTTTTAATATTTAAACTTTGCTTCTGTAGCAAACAGGAAAAAAATAAGAAGTCAGTGACCAGAACAAGTTCTCCTCAAGATTAATATCTAGACTGCAAATTACTAATCTTTCAGTTGTCACTTGTACAAGTAAACCATATGTAAATTAGGGAAAATGCCATTTTTCATGACAAGGTTGCTTGCTTTTTCTGTCCTCAGACCATAGGAATTGCTAAATTGCATCAGATTCTGCAGTTTCAACTGAGAATAGTGAGCATGAGACATCTCAAAAATGGTACATGTAACCAAAAGACTCTTAAAAATAGCCTAAAAATTTTTGCATAGATCTAAAAAATTAGTAGTTGACTCATGCCATGAAACCTGAAAGTTATTTAAATCTGGGTCTTTAGGCTCAAAGCTAGACTTAGTTCTTTTTTTATAAGGCCAATCTTTTGCTCTCATTACGAGTTCTACAGATGAACCACACAACAATGCACCACACAGGCTGCACTGTTATTAAAACTAAGTCACAGAAGTCTCTCTTCGCATGGTTCATCTTCAAGATACCAACATCTGCCAATTTTGGGTCATACTATGCAAGAAAATCTATTTTTACAGTAACTGTCAAAAGGTAATGGAAAGTCAGAATTAGTCTTACTAATGGGACACTTATTTCTCCCTTTTTTCAAGGGATATAACCCACAGTAACATGGATTAGGATGTCCAAAAGCAGAGTGAGATTAAGACACAGTCCTGCACACACACAGATTTTTTATGTGAAGGAAACAACAGTTGTTATTCAAATTTTGAAGGACATCTTTAAACAACTAAATACAGTCACATTAAGCCACAAAAATGCCTGAGGTATGATTTGAATGTTGTTTTCACGTAGGAACGGCCAGTGTGTTCCACCCACACTCCAACTTCCCAGGACAAAGTGTCATTGGGGGATGAGAAAGAAGGAACTCTCTTATAAATAAATGCAGTGGGGAAGGAGAGACTTACAACCTTTCTGTCATTTGGATGCGCTGAGCCGAGTCCGTCCCGTACCGCTGGGATATGAGATACTGCGCGGGGAGCGCAGAGAGGAGCACGCAGATCTGCAGAGCCACAGCTGCATTGACGTGAGGCATTCCAACAGGAAGACACTTCCCTGCTCAGAAAAGAGGAATTAAAAAGAAAAAAAAAAAAAGACACAAAATGAAACATTTCCTTCAGATTGTTTTGTTGGATCACAAAGTAACACAGTACCTGTAACTCACGCATTTCAGCTACATCCAGAGCCCACCTACATCAGGTCAAACTGAACTGAAGTCGAGGGTACTTCTAAAAACTAATAGAAGACTAAAGTAGGCAGCTTCACAAGACAAAGAAAACAAAAAGCTAGTTGAGAGTTATACAGGCATCTCTTTTCATCTGGAAATAGGGGGAAAAACAAACCCCCAAAACCTAGGAAGTTGTATGGTTGTCCAATTTGCAATAAAATACTGCTCTCCAGGAACAAAATTCACTGTGCTGCTCTATCATCTAATTAAGTGCGTTAAATATGTCTCACATATCAGATTGATAGCCTCAATTTGCCATTGTCCTTCATCCCACAGGCACCTCCCACACCCCACCAATGCATGGAGACATTCCTGGCTCACCCTTCATCAACCTAAGGTACTCACCTTCAGCTGAGGAGCAGATTCACTGGGGGGTTTTCAAATCAGGACTAAGGCTCGCTGAAATTTGAGATTTGCATCTTTTACACCAGCGTTCTCAGCTTTACTGCAACGTTCCAAGAGTCACCTACATCTGCTCTCTATTCTTTCTCGTTAGTCTGTCTCGTTAAGCTCTGGTAGCAGCTGTTACAACTAACACTCTCCAGAAGAGTACCCAGCTTGCAAGCACAACCGAATTGTTTCAGTTGTTCCTCAGCTTTTTCTAGTTCCCGCTCTCCTAATTTACATCACTTACAAAATAATTTGGGTTCCTGTAATAGACAAATTTGGGTTCCTGTAATAGACACAGCACACGTGTACACGGGGAGTGAGATTTTATGGAAACTGCCCAGCAAAGGCAGGCGAGATCACAAAACAACACCGAAGAATGTTGTGAGGAATATGAAAACATCTGTGCGTGTGATTTACCACAAACCGTATTTTTCACTTCTGCATTACCTGCTCTGGAGCCAACAGCAAACAACAAAAAAACCCTACTCCTAATTTTAGACATTATCAGTAGTTGTCCGTCTGGAGCACTTGTTTACTCGTGTATGGGAGGGAAGAAAGGGTCACATATTAGTTCAATAAAATAACCCTCAGGACACTGCCAGGCTGGGGGGCTGGACAGGACAGGACAGGACCCCCCTCAGGACACTGCCAGGCTGGGGGGCTGGACAGGACAGGACAGGACAGGACCCTGGGGAACACCACCACCCTGCCCACGGCGTTTCAACAACTCAATTTACTTAAATTTTACTTAAAAACTTCAAGACCAGGCTGGATGGGGCTTGGAGCAACCTGGTCTGGTGGGAGGTGCCCCCGACCAGGGCAGGGGGTTGGAACTCCATGGACAGGACAGGACAGGACCCCGGGGAACACCACCACCCTGCCCACGGCGTTTCAACAACTCAATTTACTTAAATTTTACTTAAAAACTTCAAGACCAGGCTGGATGGGGCTTGGAGCAACCTGGTCTGGTGGGAGGTGCCCCCGACCAGGGCAGGGGGTTGGAACTCCATGATCTTTAAGGTCCAAATTTAAACGTTCTGTGTACGATCCCATGAACTCCTGCCCCTGCGGGTCCTTCTCTCCTCTCTGAAAGCAGCTTTTTGAGCAGCCAGATCCAGCGAACGGAAGGGGTTGAAGCAGCAGGAGGAGGGAGAGCCTGGGCCAAAGGTGGACACACACACCCCTTCCCCAAATCAAAGTACCCCCAAGGACCCGAAAACCTGTCAGAAACCTGCTACGCCTTTACCCCCGCCCGGGGGCCGAGCCGCAGACCCCACCGCAGCCCGGGGAGAAGCCGCCGAACCCCCCCGCCGCCCGGTAAATTCTGCCACAAGCCCCGGAGGGCAGCGCCACGAAGCCGAGCGGCGCCCACCGGCAGCCAGGTGAGGCGGGACGACCCACCGGCCTTCCCTCAGCCCCTGAGGGGACAGCCCGCCCGGCGGCAGGTGTCGGCGCCACCCCGCCACCCTCCCTTCCCTCCCGGCGCCCTCACAGCTTGAGGCAGCCCCTCACCCGGCGCCCTCACAGCTCGAGGCAGCCCCTCACCCGGCGGCTCCGCGGGGCTCCGTTGGCCGGCGAGGGGTTGAGCTCCCTCAGGCAGGGAGCGACCGTTAGGGGGCGGCGGACATTTTGTGCGGCTGAGGGGAGCGGCGGGAAAGGGCCGCGCTCGGCTTCGCGCCCTCCCCCTTCACCGGGCCGGGAAGAGTTTTAACGCCTAGAAATGGTAACAAGAGCGGTGAAAAAACCCCTCTGCGCCGCTCTGGTGAAATCCCACCTGGAGTTGGGGGTGTTCAGCCTGAAGAAGAGAAAGCTCCGGGGGGGACCTTAGAGCTCCTTCCAGGCCCTCAAAGGGGCTCCAGGAGAGATGGGGAGGGACTCTGGATCAGGGAGGGGAGCCATAGGACGAGGGGGAACTGTTTTAAACTGAAAGAGGGGAGATTGAGATGAGATCTCAGGAAGGAGATGAGATCTTTGCTGTGAGGGTGGTGAGAGCCTGGCCCAGGTTGCCCTGAGAAGCTGTGGCTGCCCCATCCCTGGAGGGGTTCAAGGCCAGGCTGGATGGGGCTTGGAGCAACCTGGTCTGGTGGGAGGTGTCCCTGCCCAGGGCAGGGACTTGGAACTCAATGATCTTTAGGTCCCTTCCAACCCAAACCATGGTTCTATGAAGGCTGGTGGCTTGAGGCCCGTGTCAGGTTTTCCTGACTGAGTGTTACCTCCTGTCTTCCCCTTCGTGTGGCTAGGCCTCCCGCCATGGGTGGATGGAATCAAGGCTTCTCATCTTCACAAAACAAACACCTGGGTGGACTTTACACCCTTACCATACTTAAGGAGATCCTAATGAAAGAAAAAACAAGGTTTTACTTACTTTTTCCGGGTTAACGTTAAGTAAATTGTACTTGCAACTCCCTGAAGTAACTTTTTTCCTGTGAAGATAGACGAGCACCTTTAATCTGCTATGAATGTCAGGCAATGTTCTCCAGCATGAAGTTGGTGCCGTGTTTTAACACAAAACTTTAACCCAGCCTCACAGCGTACCTCTAACCACTATCTTGGTAGTTTAAGAGAGCACTTGGTGGTACTCTCTGGGCCTGGTTATGTCACAGATGGGTGAAGGTGTAGCTGAAACAAAAGTCTCCAGCATGGTTTCGATCATTCACATGTCGACCACCCAGCAGAGGCTCCCTCAGGCCCTGTGCCTGCTGAGCAGGTTGGCACCTGCTAATGAGTCTCTTTGGTGGAAGTTCAACAGCCATCAGAGTTCTTGCTGGCACCCAAATAACAAGAGGATAGACTCTAAACAACCCAGAGAGATCAGAGCAGTGGGAACATGGCAGACAAATAAGGAAAATTCAGCAGCTGCAAATGTTGAGTTTTACCAAGGGAGAAGAACTGTTCCAGCCCTCTCTTCTCGCTGGCTGAGCACATCTCTGTAAAGGGCAGTCCCATCAAAAAAAAGGGGAAATGTCATCGATCCGTAACTAGTTTAATAATGTAGCTTGCTTTTCATATCCAGTGTTACGCTTTTCAAATGAAAAACTCGAGGAAGTGCTTCATCCTGTAGGCACCTGCTAAAAGCAAAATGGTCTCAGAAATGATTTGAAAAATGTAGGAAGTAGACCATGTGATGGTACGGGCTGAAATACTCCCGCATCCTGTGTCTTCCGTTTCTTCCAACGAGCCTCAGCACCAGCGGGCTTTCAGACTGGAGCTGGATCTCTGTTAGCCTCAGGTATGCAAAATATCCAGGAACCTTTCTGGATGCCTTGTGGTCCACAGCAATTATTTCCTGTTTGCCCCACACAGCCCACCCCAAGGAGAAGAGATTCTCTGGGGCCATCGTGGCTGTGTTTGCGTCTTGCCAGCCGAGGCTGCAGTAAATAGAGGGACCTAACCCCTCTCTTGAGCAGAACCTCAGGAGCCACAGAAGAATTTTCTTCTATGCATAAAATCTCCTGGTTTCCACCATTCTTTTTCTCCATGCAGAAGCATGAATTTCCAGATGTTCCAAAGAACCAAATTTCTCTTACTTGATAAGACAGGTGTATTTTCACAGAGCTGTGAAACAACAGCAATTACCAAGCTGTAGAAAACGAGGAAAACCGTTTTCTGTTCTGTAAAAATTCAAAACAGCCTCTTTTTGTGAAGACAGAGTTCTCCATAAACCCGATACAATCAAATCACACGCACAGAGGGAAAATGGGATGCTCAACACATCTCTGAAACCTGGATAAGGGAACTGTGGCTCTGTGAGCTCTCCTTCTGCCACGAGTCTTCCCTGACAATATCAGTCCCCCAAGGAGGAAAGAGGAGGCTTAACAGGGAGTCAAGGGCACCAAGACAAGTAAGATCCAAAGCTCACAAAAAGTTAGTAAGAATGTTAAGTTTTGGGAAAAGGCTAGAGGCGATGCTACACAGCATTTTCTTGGAACACTTCCAAAGCCAGAGGAAAATCACAACTTGATAAATTAGCATGTAAGAAAAAAACTCTGTCCATAAAACGATTTCAGATGATCTAAAGACAAAGGTTATATGATTTTTTCTAGCAAATTTCCTAAATAATTTAACCTCTCATTTCCCTTATAACTTTATCTGACAGAAGATTTTAGCATTAATGCACATTTTACAATCTCAAAGCCTTTACAACCGTTAAACAGAATAAAAGTTTCCAGTACTAGGTTTTTAATCCTTCCCAGTGCACTTGTGCATTCAGATTAACCCGTGTCACTGAATTACAGGAGCACAGAACGCACGTGCCCCCAGCTCCTCATGTTGAGATTCTAGTTGGGTGAAAACATGCAGTGTATTGAAAGATACCACCGTGATCACTAATTAGACTGTTTTATTGTTTTAAGTCATTTTGTTCTGTAGGTGTCCTCCTCAACATGAACTCCAGGTGGAATGGGAAGTTTTTGACAGCTGGGAATACAGCTGTGTTCCCTTTTGTAGTGGTTAATGGGAGTTTACACCACCCTCCTTAATGACAAAGAGAATTCACATTTTTGAATTAGCGTGCTTGAATATGAGGCAAATAACCCCACTAGATTTCTCTACAGTGGAATGCAAAGTAATCTTTTTCTGGTGTTTTAGTCATACTCTAACTAGCTTTGCATTTTAAGTTACAGTCTTTATTCTTTTGAATATCCTTGTTCAAAGTCAAATTCAGAGACCTGAGACAAAGCAGAGATTAACAGATAAGGCTGCCTGCCCCCTGAATACTAACTAAACATTTAGCCCGAACTCGGCATCTCAAGGAATATTCCTCTGCAGAAATTTGCTGCTGAAATCATTGATTACCTGCCTCTGCTCTTGATTCTCCTTTTTTTTTAGTTTTCTGGTATTTGCTTTATTTTCACCTGTGCTTCAAACAGAAACATTGATTAATTTTTAAAGACACTTTGCTCGTTTGTCTTTGGGAAAAGTGACAAACGCTCTTTTGTGAAGCTTGCATCGATGGCTGGAGCAGGAAAGAGCAGAGGTTTTGGTACAAAACTTCTCACTTTGGAAACAAAAGGGTCAGCTTCAACGTTCATACATCATTTCCTTCATTTAATGAGCATTATAATCTAACGGGAGTAAATGGTATTATCAGGGTAACGAAGCATTAGGGCCGGCACGGTCAGCGTCTGCCTGTGAGACCAACATTTCACAACATCTGCTCATCTTAAGAAAAATCTTGATTATTCGTCAAGAATAAGGGCAGTAGGTTTCAAAAAGACACCTGTCACACCTGAGGAGAGAGAACTGGGATAGGATGGCATTTTAAGGATTGGGTGCAAAGTCACAGAGAAAGAGATCTGAAAAGAACAGACCTTAGACTTCTAAAATCCCCCCTTAGGGAATCACAGAATCTTAGTGGTTGGAAGGGACCTCTGAGATCATCGAGTCCAACCACAAAAAAAAAAAAAAAAACAAACCAAAAAACACCCCACCCCACACAACACCCACCAAAAACACCACACCCACCAACTAAACCCCACACTCAACACCTCGCCATAAACCAATAACCTTGGGCACTAGAGCATGCCCTGAAGAGCATGAAACAAGCAAAAAAAAAAATAATGAACTACTTCATACAAACTGCTTCAGTTACAAAACTAAAATCAGGGCTAAATTGAAACCCCCAGACCTGGGGTGGGTTGTTTTTGGAAGAGCACACCACTGTTATTTTAATAATGCAATATACAATAAAACTACCACCTCCGGTACTTCACAGCAATATGCAGCAAATTCACGATTTTCAGTATTGTGAATTATTTCTCTCCCAATTACTAAACACACCAATTACTAAAACTCACACAGATACTTGAGACAACAGAGGTTGGTTTGTTTCCTGATGTGCTAAACCAAGTCCTGTTTTTCCCCCAGACTCCCCCGGAGGACACGTCTGGGAAGCTGAAGGGAACTCAATCCTTTCCAGTCTGACCACCATCCCCTGACCCCACGGCTCAGCGTCCTCTCCCTCCCTTGTGGTTTGGGGTAAGGTACATAAGGAGGAAAAGATCATCTGACAAAGCAAATAACAGGTGAAGTGAAGATTTCAAAACACCGGGTGCGGTGTTTGAAATACCCAACATTTCCTTTGCTTCAGGCCTTCCTTCTGAGCACAGACAGGTAGATACAAACAGAACCCAGAGCCTTGTGCAAACACAGCACATATTGACTTTTCTGGGCATCACCCATCCGGGGCAACCAGAGGGGAGAGCAGGGACTCTGCCTGCAGGGAGTCAGGGGACTTCTCTCTGCTAAACTGGTTTTAACAACTTCTGGAGTTGTTGGGAAGCAGAGATTTCCACAGGTTGGAGGCAGCTCTGGTACAAACAAGCTGTCACCTGAACAGGGATGGCTTCTTGGAGGACCAGGGGCACCCTGCTGCACATGGCAAAGTGAGCCAAGAGGATGGGCAACGTGGCCTCTCCAGTGCCAGATGCCTTTATGTTGCCTTCAGAAACTGCAGTTCTAGTGAAATCCCCCAAAAATAACACATTTTGATCTCTATCAGAGAGTGCTTTGGTTGTAATTTTGTCTGTCCCCACATAACACACCGCTATACTATTTTCTACAAGGAATCAAAACAAGCTGTTTTGAAGAACACAGGAGCAATTGTCCCAAAATGCAGGAAATCACTAAGATAGAAACAAACACTGTCGGACGGCTTAGAAAAACATGTTTTCTATTTATTTAAAAATAAGTTTGTAGTTACTACATTGCAGTGACAGTAATTCTTACACATACATTCTAGTTTGTATAAAAGGATTCAAAGTATTATGCATCAAAACTAACATAGAAAGTGTCCACATAACAGTAAAGAAATTTTCAATCCATATGTACAAAAAGAAAGGGCACTGTTATTCTGGCGAGATACTTCAGGTTATAACATGATAATCCAGATTTCTGGAAGGAAAAAAAAAAACAAAACCAAACCCAACCTTGATAAAGCTAAAGAATTATAGTTTCCAAAACTGTTACTCATTACATACAACAGATTTGTGGTTTACATAATTCTGTACAAAATAAGCGTTATTTTTATTTTTTTTTTAATCTGAAAATGTGTCAGTTTCAAAATTAACCTTCCTAGGTCATTTCCTCCAAGTTGAGCTCCCTTCTATCCGTATTTAAACACGATGACAAGAATTTTAATTCCTGCAAGATGACCATCCAGTTGTCCACCACCACTTCTGCCTTTTTAGTATGGTCCAAAAATGTAACTTCTGCAGAGTCTCCAGCCCAGCCCAGTATCTGTACATCCCACTGGCCTCTCCACGGGACAGGGACTTGGATTCCCTCCTACTCCCAATTCCTACCACCCCATTGTTTCTTCCAGGGGAGAAATTCATAGCACAGTACTACCATCCCTTCCTAAAATGTATCGTTTGCATTATTCGAAGTGAATTTCCTGATGTATTTATCTGCATTAAAAAGGATTCAAATGACTACTCGTTTCACTACCAAGCCCCTAAAAGCTACATTTATTCCACCTTTATTTTATTGCAGCATTATAAGGTTTCTCTCTAGAGTGCCTTGAGGCTGTTAGACCCTTGAGGGGGGGGAAAGCTAATCACCTTCTTCTGTGATTTATTCTCACTTTCTCAGCGCGTTTCCTCCTCTAACACACTGTGAAATGACACGGCCAATTCCCACCTTCAAACCAGCACAAATGCAAAAGCAGCTCGAGGTTTAGCTCTTGTTTAAAAAGCTGCCCCTTCCTTCCCCCAGACGCAGCAGAACGCGAAGAAACTGCGCTCCTGGGTAGAGAAAAGGAAACCACGTCAGCTGTCAGTCCCCCATTTCTTATTGGAAACACATCGTCAAGCCTTGGCCAATTTTAGGAAATTTCATACACTTTCCTCTGCGTATGAACAAGCTTGTATATACAGTAATTTACAGCAGAAAACTAACAGCCCTTTATCAGTTGAATATCTAGGTCCCCTTGGAAACCAATCCGTTACAAGAACTTCAGGGATAAAAGAAACTACGTGGTACAGCAATTTTACACACTTCATTTGGCTTCATTAGGTAGTAAACAGAAAAGGAGCTTTTTGCTGTTCCTAGGTGAGGGTTTAAAGCCCCCAACCTTCTGTATCACAGCGCTGTTGCAGAGTTGCATTTAAATTCTTGTTAAAACACTCAACTGTTAAATAAAAAAGCGAAAAGGAAAAACTACTGTGGACAAAAGACACTACTTTAGAGTAAGGTAAGGACTCGGGACACGACGTCATTGCTGCCGTATGGCTGTTCTACTGATTGACCAGCAACATGGTAAAATGACCTCAGCGAGATCTGCGGGCTTCAAATGAAATGCAAGCCTTGATGAAAGTGAGCTTAAAGTCCTCTAACCTCCAATTTACTATGCAAGTGCGGGGTGAAAGGGTCCCAGTCAGTTAAGCCTATTGCTTTTATAGAACCAGTCAACCATTGAACACGTGCTTAAATTCAAATTACACGCTCAAGCATTCACTTGTAGTCCTTGATCCGACAAATGTGAGCAAAAGATTTAACAACGTGGTGTAAAAATTGTAACAAGTTGAAGTTACGGAATGGACAGGCTATTTTTTTGGGTTGTAAGTAGTTCTTTTTTTTTTGGTAAGACAAAAGCCTCTGGCACAGAATCAGAATTGGTACTTGAAAAATATTTGTACAGCAATACAGTGAGTTGTCTCTACACTACAATTTATTTATTTTTTATAGCTATTAATATATCCTACGTGCTGCATCAGGGTCCTTTATCAAGTCATAGCTTTACAAATATTAAGCCATAGTAATATTTAACTCAACCAACTCAATCTTACAAAGTCTTTATCAACAAACTGAGCACATGTACAAACCGGACACTGTACAAATAAACATATGCAAATATATATCACAGCAGGCTAATCACCGGAGGAAGACATTGCTCTGTAAAGGTGTGTCACTGCTCACTGCCCGGGGACAAAGAGCTCTAGTTCAATATTGACAAGAAGGAAACACTACAGTGGTAAAAATGTCAGTTCAGTTCCCAAAAAACACCCTGACAACAGAAAGGGAAGGGCTGAAGGGTCGTTAATTAGGGAGGGACAGGTACATACAGCGGCTTCCGATCAACTTCCCAGCGTTTCCCAGTACAAACACCAGGACAGTATCCTCACACCCACGTCAAAAAGAATTTAATGATTAAAACTGCCAGGTCTGTAAGCTCATTTGCGTGTCTATGACTCCGAACCTATGGACTATTTACAAATGCAAATGAGAAACAAGCACGTGAGATTCTGATACTCCTTTTTTTTCTGAACCGGTCGGCAGGTACTGGAGATGGCATCGTAAAACATGCACGTAGCTGGAGTTCTTCAGTTAGCTCAGAACACCCACCAATGGTTTATTGCTCACATTTTTAAAATGTTAAGACTTTGTAATAAAAAGCTCTTTTTCTGTGTCGATACAGTATGTCACAACAACCTCAAAGAACACATTTTTTTTTTCCCCAACCGAAATGCACAGTCTGATGGTGACGAAAGTATCATAAATAAAGTCTGTGATCTAGTGACATTAAATTATAAAAATAGAACTTTCAAGTAAATCTGATATTAACTTCTAATAATTTTTTAGTGTTGCTTATATAAAAAATTTGACCCAAATTATGCACATTTTTTTTTTTTTAAAGAAAAAAAAAAAGCATTAATGTGTCTAATATGAATTAAAAAATTCCTGGCTGAAGTCAGTGGTGTTACTGGTGGGCAGCAGTGCCCATGTTCTGCAGGTAAGGCCTTCTATTCTTGTAAAATTAAGATGTACAATTTTCTACCTACTGCTGAGGGAACGCGTATTTCAGTCTCCGAAACTCACAAGGTATTCTCCATATATAAATATATACATCAACATGCCATAGAAAACATTAGTACAAATGGGAGTAAATACAGAAGTTGAGCTTTAGATAGAATCTATCTGATATATTACAATGCAGATAACATCAGGAAATTACACAGTTTCTAATGATTGCCTTCATCAGGGAGATGGGACAGAACGAACCACGAGCCGTGGAGCCGCACCGCTCCTCAGCACACCCAGGGACTCCACTTGAACTGAACTAATGGAATAATACACCAACAAATGAAATGCAAACTAAATCCCTGCTTCCCAAATTCACATCCATAACAATTCCAAAGTATTTGAGTAATTTTTTTGCAGCAAAATGCCTGTTTGCTCTCCACAGTAAGCACGGTTCTGTTCCTCTCGGTGCCAGATACCAACGGTCTTGGCTCACACAGTTAAGATTTCTTTTTTTTTTTTAATAACAGAAAATAAAAGAGTGAAGAATTAGGCCTCAAATAAGTATAGAGAATCTGTGCAAATTTAAGGTCTTAATTCTGTATGCCCTCCCTTCCAGATATTGCAGATGATGTTTGGAAAAATAAAAAAATAAAATAAAATAAAAAGAAAATATTACTATAAAGTAAGGGTGTACAGAATTGAGGTTTCATTTCAGGTTTATTTTTTCAACTAAGTTAGGGTCACACACACACAAAAAAACCCTTTCCCACTACCCAAACTTCCAAAATAATGTATAACCAGAAAATTTTGGTTACATTTTTGTACCATACCAGATCTCAGAAAATATGACTACTTCTGTATTTTTTTTTTTTCTTAAAACTGGACAATACTTTAAGTGATAGAAAATGGTATTAAAGTTTGTTTTGTAAAGGTATAAAATAACTAAATGTACCATAAACAAATAAATAACTGCTTTTCTTTTCTAGAGCAGTACATATAACAATACATTCCCCTAAGTCATATAGTTATCATTTACAATAGACAACTTAATTTTACTAAGGATGCAAGAAATAATAGAATACAAGGCACAATCATTAAATGGAATTTTTTCTTTAGGGTGTATATTGACTTATGTCAGCGTGATATACCATAAAAAGTGCAGAAAAACACAATGTGCAATGAGACCACTGTATAAAACATGATTGCATAAAAAGTGATTTGGCCTTTTGAACCTTAATAATTGAAAATAACCAATCTTCCCCTTAAAATTAAACTATAAATTATGACATTTTAAAATTTCTCTTCAATTCTAGTGCTATCTAAAAAATCCTGAAAAAAATTTATACCTGGGTAATATTTTCTAGGTACGTGTTTTATGTATATATTAATATATACACATAACACTCTTCTTTGTAGGTCATTTTAGCCTCTTCAGCACGTCTAAAGTTGTAGAAACAACAATCAATCTGGATCAGAAAGTAAACATCATCGTTCCATACCTGTCCTGTCATTTCCTTGAATCCTTTAACCAATTATACATTTTGTCTAAAACATCTCTGTCAAAGGACCCCACCAGTGCATTATTTTCTACCAAAAGTACCAAAAAAAAAAATTAAAAAAAAAAGATACATTTCAGAACAATGTTAACAACTTGCTATTTCAAACAATCCACAGCTTTTATCACTGCAAATGGTATGTTGTACTGACACCCGAAAAGAAAGAATCAAAAAAACAAAAAAAAAAAAAAGGCTTTTCCACTGCACTGATTCTCAGTCTTTGGCACAATAAACAGAGATTTAGTGATTGATACAAGAATCAAGGTCTGAAAAATTAGACATTAGTCAAACTTTTTCCAATGTGGATATATATATATATATATATATTTGTGATTACATTTTTGCTATGTTTGGCAGAACTTGGATAAACCAACAGCCTGTGCCAGGCTTCTTTTGCAGCTGAACGTTCCATCACAACTGAAATTAAGCATTTTCAGATTAGCAAAGTTTGGTATTTTTTTTTTTTTGTATTTAATAGAAATGTAAGTGAATTTACTGCCACTTTTTGCCAAAAAACCTGCCTTCCCAGGCAACTGGACTTTTACAATCTCCGTGTACCTTGCTTGGTTAAAAATAGACTTCTGGTTTCAGTCTGTGGCACTCTGAGTCCTGTCACCGTTTGTGAAGGGGGTGGGGACACCACGCGAGCAGAGCAGTTCTCAGCTCCAGCCATCACTCAGAAACTGCTTCACTTATTCCCAACTGTCAACAAAACGACTCTTGAAATGCATAACCTATTTGGAGGGCAATAAATAGCAAAAGTTTAAAATATATATTTCTTTCAAAGAATGTTCTTTCAGTTTTTTGTTGGGTTTTTTTTTTTTTCTTTCTTTTTTGCTAAATTTTTCTCCCCAAATCAGAACATGTTCTCCTAACCCCCAATAGCAGCAGGGAAGCAGAAGTCTGGTCTGCTCTTCCTTAACTGTACCTGCTTCGTAGCGTTCTGAAGTCAAACCCTTGGTAAAAATCACCAACCGATTAAATTAGCTTTTGCTTTTTCAGTCAACTTTCGGACTCGGCCTCTGCTAGACGTTCCGAAAGTCAAGGAGGTGTCTTCAAACAACAGCTGCCTTTGCTCTTCCTCAGAGTCATCCTCATTGTAAAAGGCTGTCCTCCTACCCTGGTTTCTAGTTCTCATGTGAGGTTCAGAGTCTTTCAGCTCTTCAGACCCCTCCTCCATGGGCTCCTCCATCTTTTTCCTCCTGCTCCTCGTCTGCATTTTAACATTCGCAGGAACTGGAAGGTCCGAGCCTGGGGGATGGGTCTTCATCTTTCTTTTTGGCTTTCTACCCCCACGGCCTTTTTTTTGTAACAAGTCTTCCTTCATGTTGTTTTCAGAAAGAGAATTACAGGCGGTAGAAGCGGAGGCTTCTTCGGGCACATCCCTTGCAGTCTGGATCGCGTTCTGCTCTGCGACCTTTTGCTGTTCAACCAGTTGGAGCTTTTTTGGTTTTCTGCCTCTTTTCTTGTGCACCACTTCACAGCTACTGTTTAAATTCGTCTCCACCTTCGGTTTCCTTCCAGGACCTCTTTTAACAGGGGGTTTTGAGGGCTGCCCTCCGTGCCCGTTCACCTGGACGCTCCCCGATGCCAGAGCATTATTCTTGCAATCTGCTGTAAAGAAACCAGAGCCTTTATCACCCACCAGATGTACATTCCTTTTCACCCTGCCTTTATAAAACTCTTACTAAAATATCTGAATGGATTCACAGCCATTGCCAATCCCTCCAACTCTCAGACACCCAAAGCAGAGCTCAAAGAGCTTCACGTCATACGTGATGAGGACTAACTTCTACTGGGGTTTAGCTCTAGGTAGCTTGAAGAAAGAAATTTAAAAAACACCAAAAAAAGAAAAAAATCCCACACCTCAAAGAGCTTCACGTCATACGTGATGAGGACTGACTTCTACTGGGGTTTAGCTCTTGGTAGCTTGAAATTAAAAAACCACCACGAAAAAGAAAAAAAATCCCACATAGATAAAGAAAAAAGGGAAAAACTTGAATGTTTTTCTTGGCTGAGGCTGCACCAGTGGACAGGAACTCCTGTTTGGTACCTGCTACAGCAAAACCTTCAGAGCAGGTCATCTCCACAGAAATGGAAAGGTTTGCTTTCAGCCTGGGGTAACATCCTTGAGAGCCAGGTCATTACACCAGGGAGATTCCAACAATAAGCAAGGAAAAGGGTAGAAACGTAGGAGTTAACAAAAAGGAGAGGTGTGTAATTTGCACTGTTGTGTAACAGGGGCACATTGAGCCACAGAACGTGGTGAGAGCTGAGCCCTTTGTGGGAAAGCTTGGAAGGAACAGATGATTTAACCCAGCAGACCACAAGCTGCTTTTTCAGAACCACAGAAGAGCAAGAAAGAAAGGAGAATCCTCAGGGAGAGGACTCCTCCAAGGAGTCACCAGATTAATTAGCTGGGGACCAAAGTGTAAACTGCTGGTTTTCCACCTTCAGAGCAGAGATGCTTAGTGAAGCTTCCCAGCTCAGAGCTCCTCCACAAACAGGAAAGCTTTTATGACCAAGTGATAATATTTCAGTCTCCACAGAAGCTTTGACTTTGAAGGGAAGTTCAGTCAGAAGATTACATCAAACTAGGTGTGACCAACCCATACAGATATAACTGAACAGAAGCAGGAAACACCATATAGATCTATTCTGCTGGGGTAAAAGAATTAAAAACATCAAACTAGGTGTGACCAACCCATACAGATATAACTGAACAGAAGCAGGAAACACCATATAGATCTATCTGCTGTGGCAGAAGAATGAAAGAATTAATTGCAGCTGGGATGCTCTGATCTTTACACTCCTGGTGGTGGAGGGTGTAATGGGGTGTCCCTGCCCAGGGCAGGGGGTTGGAACTCGAAGATCTTTGAGGTCCCTTCCAACCCAAACCATTCTAGGATTCTCTGATTCTAATCCCACTCAGCGCTGCTGACCCAAATATAACCCACTGGAGTTTTAATAAGTAAAACCCATGGGGTTTAAGGGGTGACCCCACAGAAATCTGCTTTGGAAGCTGAGAACTCAGAACCCAACCTCTGCAATAATTGAAATGAAGGTACAGATATGTTAATGTATCACATCTGGCTTGACAACACTGTTACCACGGCATGGAAAATAGGAGGGAAAAGGTCCCACAGAGCCCCCTGTACCTTGTTGATTAACGGTGGCAGATTTGACTTTGCGCTTGATTTGCTTCTCTTTCTCGGGATTTTCCCTTGTGGAGTTATTCCTAGTGTTGTGGCTGTAATCCGACTGACTGGGGATGGATACCACATTCTGGTTCTTGGAATGTTTGGTTGAATTCTCCAGTACTAGAAGGACAAAAAAATAAAAGTATTATTCCTGTTAAGTAGTTCATACACATTCAATCTTCTCTGGGTAACGAGAAGTCGTGTTTGGGTCCAGAGAAGGGCGACAAAGCTGGTGAGGGGTCTGGAGAATAAGTCTTATGAGGAGAGGCTGAGGGAGCTGGGGGTGTTCAGCCTGGAGAAGAGGAGGAGACCTTATTGCTCTCTACAACTACCTGAAAGGAGGGTGTAGAGAGATGGGGGTCGGTCTCTTTTCCCAAGTCACAGGTGACAGGACGAGAGGAAATGGCCTCAAGTTGCACCAGGGGAGGTTCAGGCTGGATATTAGGAAAAATTGTTTCACTGAAAGGGTTCTCAGCCATTGGAATGGGCTGCCCAGGGAGGTGGTTGAGGCCCCATCCCTGGAGGTGTTCAAAAGACGGGTTGATGTAGTGCTGGGAGGTCTGGTTTAGTGATGATGCTCCTTGTTTGTTGTGTGGGTGTCTATTTTTGTCAGTCAGGTTGACGGTTGGACAAGATGATCTTTAAGGTCCCTTCCAACCTAGAAGATTCTGTGAGTCTGTGATTCTACTCCAAACAACTTGAATCAGTGCTCTGGAAGTGAGAAAGCTTCCTGGATAAAATAACACCACCCTCTTAAAAGCCTCAAAAGCTCAGCAGCTCGCAAACAGAACTGGTCTTAACGGAGAGAAATGCCTTCCATTTCCAAAAACCAAGTTTTATGTTTAAAAACATTCTACGATTCAAAAGAAAAAAAAAGCAAGACCAAAGAATCAACTTGCCTGACTTTGCTGACCCTGCAGTAGCATTAGGCTTTGTGATTAAAGGCTTTATCGTTAAGGGCTTAGCTCCTGACGAGGTGGAGGGCTGCTCGGTGACGGCGGCGTCCGGCGCTCCCCTGGCGCTGCGGGTCCTGACGAGGGCGGAGGCGTCGGCCGCCCTGCCGTTCAGCTGGGGCGCAGCGTGCCGCGGGGCCAGCGACCGTGCCGCCGCACACGACGAAGAGGGGGCTGAGGATTCCGCCTTCAGGGGAGGTTTTATTAATCTCCTCTTCCTTTCGGGGCTGAGAAAAGGAGTAACAGTTTGTATCCTGCATGACCGTCTCTTTTTTTTAATTTTATTTCATTTTATTTTATTTTTATTTTCCAGGAATAAATAAAATTAACTTTTGGTGTCTGAGATTGCGGGGTAAAACACCCACCTCTGTATGAAGTGTGTTAAAAACGTGGCATTTACTGGAGAAACTCACATAGTTGTGACCCTCTGAAAAATGAATCTTACAATAAATGCTGTATTTGTATGATAAAGCACAACACCATCACTGTCCTAACGACGCTGGTTTACTGTATTTAGCAATTATTTGAATTTTAAGCATGAGGATAGCTCTAATTAAATTTAAAACTCTTCCACATCACAGGGGCGTGCGTGTCAGAGCTGTGACTGCAGCACAGGGAACAGCAAAGGAAGCATCAATTAAAAGAGAGAGTGGTGGGGCATTGGAACAGGCTGCCCAGGGAGGGGGTGGAGTCCCCATCCCTGGCTGTGTTTAAGAACCCTTTAGATGTGGTGTTGGGGGATATGGGGTAGGGGAGGACTTTAGAGCAGGGTGGATGGTTGGACTCGATGATCCCGAGGGTCTCTTCCAGCCTGGATGATTCTGTGATTCTGTAAAACCCACACCAAGTTCTACTGCTCGGGTACGTCCAACCTGTGTGAAGGAATTGACCTACCTGGATGCAACGCTACTGGACACCGAGCTGCTCCTACTTCTTTTTTTCCTTCTTTTCTTTATTGTATTTCTTTTATGAAAGCGCAGGGCAGATTTATAATCCGATAAAATCGAGCTGATGTGTTCTTCAAAGAAAGCAGAGAGGCGCAAACTCATGCTGTAGATCTGAAGGAGAAAAGCCAGGAAACAAGCAAGTTTTATGCTTTTCCAAAGCATCGTTTTACTTATTTATCCCCCAACAATAGCTAGAAAATTAAACTGATTAATATAGAAATGTTTTAAGGAAATTTAGTCTGTCTCAACTCATTGCACTTACCCACATGCAGGTTCACTTTATTTTCATGGTTTTGAAAAGTGTGTTACCACTGAAGATCACACACAGAAGGAAAAATTAGAAAAACCACCCTTTCAACTGCTTTTCCAGGCACATCCCTTTCCAGCTCCAGCAGAAACTGGAGAGAGACCCTTAACAGAATTTTACTGTGTCATACCTAGGGTCAAGAAAAGTAATTTTCCTCTGTATTAAGCTGCCTCCTTATATCCCAGATTTGAACATCACTCTATTCCTCTTCCAGATGAGCAGATACTACCAGGGAGTTGGTTGCAACAGGTACAATAAATGGAGTAGAATTTCATAAGTGCACATTTTTCTTCCCTTTTTTTGCCCCCCTCTGGCTCAGATGATTTACAGAGAGACCCAATCGAACTCGGATCAGATCACAACTAATTATTTGAGCCAAGCTGCTATGAATTTTGTAAACAAAACCACAGAACCGAGCTGTCTAAATACTTTCAAAGGGGACACGGCATCTTCTTAGAACATGAAACACAAACTCTCAGAGTGCCAGATTGAACAGTGTGACAGATTCTGAGCACATTACTGCAGAGGACATCCAGAGACATTTCATAAGAAAAGATGTAAAAAAAATTATAAAAAATTATGCTTCATCTGCCAAGGCAAAAAAATTAAAAAGCTGATGGGTTTAGGTTTCAAGCAAGCATTAGGGACGTGAAGTGAGATGCTAAAATATCACTGAATGACAAATCAGAGTAAAACCATCCCCACTCCACAACTCTGTGTTGCATTCAGTGAACGTCCATAGGGTCCAGAATATTAAAATTCTTCACATCAGAACTTTCCACTTCTGAGTCAGATAAAGAAGAGCTACAAGCTCAGTACTTCCTACACCAGTCTGCTTGGACGAAACATGAAAAAAATACGAAAACATCAGAAGAATCTGTGAAACCACAGAGAGCTAAGATGATGCCAAGCACCTTCTTTATGTTGCTTTGAGGAGATCGAGAAAGAAAAACCACAAAAGAATCCCGACCTGCCCCAAAAGCTCTGCCCTTTGATGCAACCAAAAGCCAAAGAGACTGATTCTTAGGCCTGAAGAGTGAGATTGTCTGTTATTCACTGAACAGAGACCAAACTGCTCGGTCCTCCCTGCCAGTCACCTACTAAGGGATTTGTCCCCGTGTTTTAAAAAGTCTTGATTAATTTGCTGTTTAGAAAAGCCAAACATAAAGGCTATTCATAATTCCAGTCTAACACCTAAAGCATATTAGTAGAAGAAAAGCTACACAGAAGCCTTGAATGTGTGTAAATAGACAATTTCTCACTTTCACTGCTAACACATACTGCACCTACAAGGCAACTGGAGAGAAAATATTAACAACTCTGTCACTAGCAGAGAATTTCCGTATCAGCTCCTGCCTCCACTGTCTCTCTGGTTTGCTGTCCTCTATTTTTTCAGATGTAAGCACTCTTTCAAACAAACAAAAAAGAAAAAGTCTTACCCTTGATCTTTTACTCGGCGTATAGGCCTTGGAATTGCTGAAAATAAGTCTCACATCTTTACATAACTCCATTGGTGACTCATAGTTTCCAGCTTCCAGTGTTTCTCTAACAGTAGCAAAATCCATAGGAGTGTCAATAATATCTCTATAATCCTGTTAAGAAATAGCAAAACAACCTATTACAACTTCTTTTCCCCAAGGTTTAACGTATCATTTTCGTTAGGATGCATTTGATAAACCTCTTTAAACAGGTATGGAATATTCCTAACAACATTTTGCTCCCTTCTTCTCATACACCACGTAACTCCTCACGTGCTACTGGAGAGGATCACAGTTAGAAAAAAATTGGTACAAGATTTAATTCATTTTGTGAACAGATTTACTGAAACACAGAGCTCAAAATTTTGTGTCCTAAGGGTTCTCTCACTGACACGCTGTCACAAAGATACCCTGACAGGGAAGTGTGACTACGAGCTCCCTGGGTGGCTCAGCAGCAAAAACTTGGTAATAAGCCTAATGCTGGTTTTACATATTTAAGCTTTAAAATATGAAGTTTGAGTATTTGAACCCAATGAGAGGTTTAGCACATCCCTGCTGAAACCCGAGCGGTTTCTCAGATGGAGCCCTGCCAATTCAGGGAAGTTATTACTAAAATAATGAAAACTCCACTGAAACAGGGCCCTGTTCAAGCCAATGACACAACTTTTTTTTATTTCTAGGCTGTAGAGGAAACAGAAGGATATTCATAGAACAAAAAGCTTAAATACCAAAAGTAACCAAGAAGTTAACTTAATCCATGAGAGCAAACAGAGGCTGTGTTAAGCCACAGTTAATGTTTCACTACAGTTCTGCAGGGGGTGCTTTTTCTGCATCAAGCCCAGGTGACTGTCATTAGAAATCACTTTTAGTTTTTATACCTCTGAAATGAAAACAAAAGATGATCCGTGACAACATTTGCCAGATGCAACAACCAAACAGATGCACTTCCATTTTTCACCCAGAAAAGGAAAGATGCATCTTAACTGCAAAAGCTGTAATTTATTTAACAGCACAGGCTTCCCCAAAAATGCTTTAAGAGAGCGAAGAAGTGCAATTTCTTTTGAAATTACTTTAAAATGATGAAAAACATTATTATAGAATCATAGAATGGTTGGAGTTGGAAGGGACCTTAAAGACCATCCAGTTGCCACCCCCTGCCCTGGGCAGGGACACCTCCCACCAGACCAGGTTGCTCCAAGCCCCATCCAGCCTGGCCTTGAACCCCTCCAGGGATGGGGCAGCCACAGCTTCTCTGGGCAACCTGGGCCAGGCTCTCACCACCCTCCCAGCAAAGAAGTTCTTCCTGAGATCTCATCTCAATCTCCCCTTTTTCAGCTTAACCCCCTTCACCCTCATCCTATGGCTCCCCTCCCTGATCCAGAGTCCTTCCCCATCTCTCCTGAGCCCCTTTAAGGGCTGGAAGGGGCTTTAAGGTCTCCCCGGAGCCTTCTCTTCTCTCTTTTATTATTATCAGGTGACAACCAAGAACTGAAAAAAAATAATCAATAACGCTGCTTGAAGTTTCAATTAAAAGAGCTGGAATAATGGTCACAGCTGAAAAAGAAATGACCTCACAGCCTCCCTGCCCTGACACACTCACCGGGTACTCCAGGAGATCCACGGGCTGTCGAAAGGGCTCAGAGTCTTCGCACTGAAAGATGAGGTTGAGCAGCTCCTGGCACTGCTTCTTCCAGGACTGGATGTCGTAGGACTGGGCTCTGTTACGCAGCCGCCGCTTCGGCTGGTGGTCCTGCAACGACAACATTGTCTGGTATAGAACAGATAAACTACATTCCCTGCAGAATGGAAAGGCTAATTAACACATCCATACATGCAGCAGCACAAGCAGAAATGCTTTTACATTGAACGTCTCGGTAGAACACCACTTCAGTCACTTTAACTTCAAAACCTCCCAAAAACTGGGATCACACAACAATAAAAACATTTTCAGTTTTATAATCCTGTGTTTACAAATGCACTTCCAATTATTTATAGCACTGTAAATCATTTAAAAAAAAAAATTACCTTTCTTTTTCTAGTGGAAGTTCCTGGCACATTTGTATCTTTCTCTTCTTCCTTTGAGCAAGATAATGAGTCGCATAAAAAGGTTAAAAAAATATAAGCATACATGAGTAGGGGAGTTCTTTTATACTTCACTTCTAATTTGAGTTTTTACAGTTCTACCCCTGTCCCTCTGGGAGGCATTTCTTGCGACCATCGGGTCTGAGAACCTCTCAGAAGCCTCAAGAAGCATCTAAATTCTCCAATAAACAGAGAAGCTGGATTTATACCCAGTGTCCCAGCTGTCAAAAAGGAACATTTAACGGACTGAGAAGTACAACCCACGCTCTGAGAGTGACCAAAACCAGCTCTTTCACACCCAGTAGGACAGAGACACTGGTCCCATTTCTCCCGTCCATCAAGGCCACTTACCTCATCGGAGTCAGACAACACCTTCTTCTTCATGGCGTTGTACAGCGGGATTATGTCGTAGCAACTCTGGTCTCTGTGTGAGGAAACAAACACACACTGACATTTGTCTTCTGTCTTCACCTACAGAATCAACTCTCTTTTGCCTGGGATGAGGGGAACGTTTAAGAAGCCATTCCCAAATAAAACAATCAGGTGTTTAGTGCTATATGAATACTAAGAGGACTGCAGTAATAGGAAAAACGAATCTTCTGCCCCAAAAACTGGAAAATATTATCTGCACTCTGTAAAATACCAGCTACTTAATGGTGTCAAAGTTTTAAAATGAAAAAAAACCATATTCCTTTCCTAGGCATTTATTAGCACTAGAAAAATCTAATCCTATAGCTCATGAAGAAACTCTACCCTGGATTTAGTATCCAAAAATGTAATTGAATACATTAGTACCCACAACGTCAGACACTTGAAACGTGAATGTTTATTTATGTAAGGTCTCTCATTGTAAAAACCTGCATAATTAACTCAGCAAAACAACCAGTGACTTTCAGTTCTGGTGTAACACAGCTGACAGCCCCAGGTGCTGCACCACAGACAACACAAAGCACCAGGAAACAAGGAGAAAACCCCCAGCAACTCTAGACTGGAACCATAATCCATGACCCAGGCTACTGGGATCAGCACCACAACAGCTGGGGAGAAGGTGAAAAATAAAAATCAAAAGGAAGCCCCTTCCCCTCCCAATTTTCTGCTTTTTAAAAGAGTTTGGTAATTTAGACTACGCTTTAGATTCTCAGCAGCACCTTTTTCTGCGTTGCTAGTTCACTTCAGTGAGTGTATTAATAGACACACACTATAGGCCATAATTAAATCAAAATATCCATGTGTTGCACTAATTGAACTAAGCCAATTAAAACACACACACTTTGAAAAAACCCTGAGCTGATTAATTAATCAGGAAAAAAGCAATGTAGGACAAAATGTTAAAGACCAAAGTTGGTAACAGAGAAGGCCTTTGGACACAGATCTGTTCCTAAAACTAAAACTTCTAACATCTGACCCAGATGAAGGACTTTGCACTCTCCAGCCAAAATCTGACCTCCCAGGCACTGAGACAGAGGTTCACATAGGGAGTCACAGCCCCAGATTTCCAGCTACAGAATGTGATGCTACTGTTTATAAGAACACACGAAATAAAAAAAGAACAAGGTTCAACTTAACACCGAGAAATGAAATCCCTAAGAATGCAGTGATTTGTGTGACGCTAACGAAGCAGCTGCTGTTTCCACAGCGAGGGAAGAGCAGCATTTCACCCTGCACAAGGAAATCAAGGCTGGGGACGGGCTCAGGAAACTCTTCTGACTGACTTTAGGGCTGCAGACGTGTCAGGTGACTGTGAGCAACCTCAAACACTCCTCATAGAGCTTCTCTATAGACAATAACAAAGAAACAACATCTGACAGACAGCTATTACTTCTTTTGACTACAAAGCCTCCCATTTTTGGTTTGCATCTCAAACACCTTTTTCATAAATTGTGAAGGCTTTACAATTAAATGCCCACCCTTATATTAAGACAGGATTTATTCAAATCTAAACCAGAACCAGAATCTAACTCAGAACTCCTAACTTACCTATCAATAGATCTCTCACTCCAGGAAGATACTCAGACCCCTTTTTATAACTTAGCAGAAAGTCTCTTGAAATTAAATGCCATGTCAATCTGTGCCAATCAACCTATTATAGAGCTTCATCTCGTTTTGAGAACTCACACGTTCTTCAGCAAGACAAGCTTTAATCCAAAAGGGCTAAATACCTCAGGTGAGAGACAGGAGTAAGGACAGCCCTAGGAGGCAACTCACTTGATGAAGTGCAGCAGCAGATCGGTGACAAATTTGGCAGATTTGACAATGGGGCTCCCCGGCTCGTTGAAGGTGCGAGTGTTGTGTTCGATGTACCGCACCTCCCACATCAGCGACGAGAGGCGCCTGCGGACGGAAGGAGGGGAGGGAGGGAGGAAAAAGAGAGACCTTATTTCTAGTCCTGTCTGTAAAACAGGAGAAAAAGCCTCCCAGCCTTCTAACAATCCATTATCCCAGCCATTATTTTTTTTTAATGAAATCAGAGAACACGCACACTGCGCTATGTTGTTTGTTGTGGCCACCAAACAGCAGGTTCCCCAGGCTCCCATCTCCTGGGGGATTTCCACAGCCATTTATTCACATGGCTCTATGAATTCAGAGCTGACACCCCCCAGGAAAATTCTGCTGTGACACTTCAACTGTTACAGACTCACAGAGTGACATGGGGTTGGAAGGGACCTCTGGAGATCATCTCCAACCCCCTGCCAGAGCAGGGTCACCCAGAGCAGGTCCCACAGGAACGTGTCCAGGTGGGTTTGAATGTCTCCAGAGAAGGAGACTCCACCACCTCTCTGGGCAGCCTCTGCCAGGGCTCTGCCACCCTCACAGCAAAGAAGTTCCTCCTCAGGTTTAGATGAAAGTTCTTATGTTCAAGTTTTGTGCCCGTTCCCTCTTGTCCTGTCCCTGGGCACCACTGAAAAAAGCCTGGCCCCATCCTCCTGACACCCACCCTTTCAGTATTCAGAGGCGTTGATCAGATCCCCCCCCCTCAGTCTTCTCCAGACTAAAAAGACCCAAGTCCCTCAGCCTCTCCTCATAAGGGAGATGCTCCAGGCCCCTCAGCATCTCTGTAGCCTCTGCTGTCCCCTCTCCAGCAGTTCCATGTCCTTCTGGAACTGGGGAGCCAGAACTGGTCCCAGTGCTCCAGATGGGACCTCCCCAGGGCAGAGCAGAGGGGCAGGATGACCTTCCTCCACCTGCTGCTCACACTCTTCCTGATGCTCCCCAGGATGCCATTGGCCTTCTTGGCCACAAGGGCCCATTGCTGGCTCCTGGGCATCCTGTTGTCCACCAGGACTCCCAGGTCCCAGGAAACAGAAGTTATTTAAAGGGAGCACACTCCTACAGAGACAATATTTAGTGCAAAAAAAACCCCAAACCAGCACTTATAACTATGGTTTAGGAAAATTTCAAAATGATGTCAAAAAGTTATCACTTATTTTTCTGGCTGTCCAACAATTTAGAATTCAGAATTTCAAGGCTAATAATTTAAGAAGCTATTTTTATGCAATAAGGTTTCTCTTATTAGAAGCCATATTTATGTTTTTTAAAAAAAAGCTGTAGTGGAAACTTAATCCTTTTGACTACAAGTTATTTCACTGACCATGTCTCTGGTCCTGCAATTTGCATCTCACGTGGAACAAACCATTTGCACGAGCAGGAACGTGAACGCCACATAATTCTAAAAATACATTTTGCAGAATTGATGCCCAACCCTTTTGAAAGTTTTAGAAACTGGAAACTTAGATGAAGGTCAGAAGATGGGAGAAAGGGAGAGCACACACCTGTACCCATCTCCCCGTTGGGATTTATGAGACACAGAGCTACCAAAAATAGGGTGTTTCACAGCAGGAACCGCGACTTGGCTCTAACCTGTAAAATCTGCTTTCCAGTCTCTGTTTGATGGTGCTGAGGTCCGTGGGATAGGCCACAACAGTGCAATACATGGGGTAGGCTTGGAGATCCACAGGTGCCACGAAGGCAGAGGCAATATCTAGACAGAATGAAAAATAAGAATAATAAAAATCAATCAGTTATACGCCACTGAAGTACCTCAGGTACTTGTTTTTAGCATGTAAACCCCAAATCCCTAATGTATGCCAAATTATCTACCAAAAAGCAAAAGTTAACATGCGGAAACAGGAGGAAAATAGAGGTTTTATATGACTTTAGGTTGCCTATGAAAAACTTGAAACTGTTCAATGAGAAGGTTTTGTTCCAGTTAATCAAGACATAAAAGGTGTATTCTACCACATTCATTTTTTATAACTTCAGAAGTACACATGAGCATAATCTGAAGAACATAACAAATCCCCCATTTCCCATATGGTTCAGGATTTACCCAGAGTCATGAGCTGGTTTATCCCTGCAATAACCCTGTCACACTCCTCGTCCCGGGTCCTGGAGCCCCACTCTCCATCCAGAGGTTTGTAGAGCAGCGTCCGACGCTCATCGTCTGTTAAAGGAACACTTGTTCCCAGTTCTTCAGGAAACACAGCTGGAATGGAACAGACAATGAAATAAAACATAAGTCTTTGCATCTTGTGTAATATATAATAAATAATAAGTGATTTTGGCATTCTCCAGGTAGTGGTTCCACCGTGTCACAGCAGCTTTGTGAGGTCAAATGCTAAAACCAGAGCTCCTGAGGAAGCAAAATCTAATGCCATCACCCTCGTCTTCCTCAGGGCCTGCCAACTTTAACAACTCATAATCATAGAACCATAGAATGGTTCGGGTTGGAAGGGACCTTAAAGATCACAAAGAAACAACATCTGACAGACAGCTATTACTTCTTTTGACTACAAAGCCTCCCATTTTTGGTTTGCATCTCAAACACCTTTTTCATAAATTGTGAAGGCTTTACAATTAAATGCCCACCCTTATATTAAGACAGGATTTATTCAAATCTAAACCAGAACCAGAATCTAACTCAGAACTCCTAACTTACCTATCAATAGATCTCTCACTCCAGGAAGATACTCAGACCCCTTTTTATAACTTAGCAGAAAGTCTCTTGAAATTAAATGCCATGTCAATCTGTGCCAATCAACCTATTATAGAGCTTCATCTCGTTTTGAGAACTCACACGTTCTTCAGCAAGACAAGCTTTAATCCAAAAGGGCTAAATACCTCAGGTGAGAGACAGGAGTAAGGACAGCCCTTCCCAGGCACTGAGACAGAGGTTCATGTAGGGAGTCACAGCCCCAGATTTCCAGCTACAGAATGTGATGCTACTGTTTATAAGAACACACGAAATAAAAAAAGAACAAGGTTCAACTTAACACCGAGAAATGAAATCCCTAAGAATGCAGTGATTTGTGTGACGCTAACGAAGCAGCTGCTGTTTCCACAGCGAGGGAAGAGCAGCATTTCACCCTGCACAAGGAAATCAAGGCTGGGGACGGGCTCAGGAAACTCTTCTGACTGACTTTAGGGCTGCAGACGTGTCAGGTGACTGTGAGCAACCTCAAACACTCCTCATAGAGCTTCTCTATAGACAATAACAAAGAAACAACATCTGACAGACAGCTATTACTTCTTTTGACTACAAAGCCTCCCATTTTTGGTTTGCATCTCAAACACCTTTTTCATAAATTGTGAAGGCTTTACAATTAAATGCCCACCCTTATATTAAGACAGGATTTATTCAAATCTAAACCAGAACCAGAATCTAACTCAGAACTCCTAACTTACCTATCAATAGATCTCTCACTCCGGGAAGATACTCAGACCCCTTTTTATAACTTAGCAGAAAGTCTCTTGAAATTAAATGCCATGTCAATCTGTGCCAATCAACCTATTATAGAGCTTCATCTTGTTTTGAAAACTCACATGTTCTTCATCAAGACAAGCTTTAATCCGAAAAGGCTAAAAACCTCGGGTGAGAGAGAGGAGTAACGACAGCCCCAGGAGGCAACTCACTTGATGAAGTGCAGCAGCAGATCGGTGACAAATTTGGCAGATTTGACAATGGGGCTCCCCGGCTCGTTGAAGGTGCGAGTGTTGTGTTCGATGTACCGCACCTCCCACATCAGCGACGAGAGGCGCCTGCGGACAGAAGGAGGGAGAAGAGAGACTTAATTTCTAGTCCTGTCTGTAAAACGGGAGAAGAACCCTCCCAGCCTTCTTCCAATCCATTATCCCGGCCATTATTTGTTTTACATTAAATCAGAACACATGCACACTGTGCTGTGTTGGTTGTTGTGGCCACCAAACAGCAGGTTCCCCAGGCTCCCATCTCCTGGGGGATTTCCACAGCCATTTATTCACATGGCTCTATGAATTCAGAGCTGACACCCCCCAGGAAAATTCTGCTGTGACACTTCAACTGTTACAGACTCACAGAGTGACATGGGGTTGGAAGGGACCTCTGGAGATCATCTCCAACCCCCTGCCAGAGCAGGGTCACCCAGAGCAGGTCCCACAGGAACGTGTCCAGGTGGGTTTGAATGTCTCCAGAGAAGGAGACTCCACCACCTCTCTGGGCAGCCTCTGCCAGGGCTCTGCCACCCTCACAGCAAAGAAGTTCCTCCTCAGGTTTAGATGAAAGTTCTTATGTTCAAGTTTTGTGCCCGTTCCCTCTTGTCCTGTCCCTGGGCACCACTGAAAAAAGCCTGGCCCCATCCTCCTGACACCCACCCTTTCAGTATTCAGAGGCGTTGATCAGATCCCCCCCCCTCAGTCTTCTCCAGACTAAAAAGACCCAAGTCCCTCAGCCTCTCCTCATAAGGGAGATGCTCCAGGCCCCTCAGCATCTCTGTAGCCTCTGCTGTCCCCTCTCCAGCAGTTCCATGTCCTTCTGGAACTGGGGAGCCAGAACTGGTCCCAGTGCTCCAGATGGGACCTCCCCAGGGCAGAGCAGAGGGGCAGGATGACCTTCCTCCACCTGCTGCTCACACTCTTCCTGATGCTCCCCAGGATGCCATTGGCCTTCTTGGCCACAAGGGCCCATTGCTGGCTCCTGGGCATCCTGTTGTCCACCAGGACTCCCAGGTCCCAGGAAACAGAAGTTATTTAAAGGGAGCACACTCCTACAGAGACAATATTTAGTGCAAAAAAAACCCCAAACCAGCACTTATAACTATGGTTTAGGAAAATTTCAAAATGATGTCAAAAAGTTATCACTTATTTTTCTGGCTGTCCAACAATTTAGAATTCAGAATTTCAAGGCTAATAATTTAAGAAGCTATTTTTATGCAATAAGGTTTCTCTTATTAGAAGCCATATTTATGTTTTTTAAAAAAAAGCTGTAGTGGAAACTTAATCCTTTTGACTACAAGTTATTTCACTGACCATGTCTCTGGTCCTGCAATTTGCATCTCACGTGGAACAAACCATTTGCACGAGCAGGAACGTGAACGCCACATAATTCTAAAAATACATTTTGCAGAATTGATGCCCAACCCTTTTGAAAGTTTTAGAAACTGGAAACTTAGATGAAGGTCAGAAGATGGGAGAAAGGGAGAGCACACACCTGTACCCATCTCCCCGTTGGGATTTATGAGACACAGAGCTACCAAAAATAGGGTGTTTCACAGCAGGAACCGCGACTTGGCTCTAACCTGTAAAATCTGCTTTCCAGTCTCTGTTTGATGGTGCTGAGGTCCGTGGGATAGGCCACAACAGTGCAATACATGGGGTAGGCTTGGAGATCCACAGGTGCCACGAAGGCAGAGGCAATATCTAGACAGAATGAAAAATAAGAATAATAAAAATCAATCAGTTATACGCCACTGAAGTACCTCAGGTACTTGTTTTTAGCATGTAAACCCCAAATCCCTAATGTATGCCAAATTATCTACCAAAAAGCAAAAGTTAACATGCGGAAACAGGAGGAAAATAGAGGTTTTATATGACTTTAGGTTGCCTATGAAAAACTTGAAACTGTTCAATGAGAAGGTTTTGTTCCAGTTAATCAAGACATAAAAGGTGTATTCTACCACATTCATTTTTTATAACTTCAGAAGTACACATGAGCATAATCTGAAGAACATAACAAATCCCCCATTTCCCATATGGTTCAGGATTTACCCAGAGTCATGAGCTGGTTTATCCCTGCAATAACCCTGTCACACTCCTCGTCCCGGGTCCTGGAGCCCCACTCTCCATCCAGAGGTTTATAGAGCAGCGTCCGACGTTCATCGTCTGTTAAAGGAACACTCGTTCCCAGTTCTTCAGGAAACACAGCTGGAATGGAACAGACAATGAAATAAAACATAAGTCTTTGCATCTTTTGTAATATATAATAAATAATAAGTGATTTTGGCATTCTCCAGGTAGTGGTTCCACCATGTCACAGCAGCTTTGTGAGGTCAAATGCTAAAACCAGAGCTCCTGAGGAAGCAAAATCTAATGCCATCACCCTCGTCTTCCTCAGGGCCTGCCAACTTTAACAACTCATAATCATAGAACCATAGAATGGTTCGGGTTGGAAGGGACCTTAAAGATCATCCAGTGCCACCCCCTGCCCTGGGCAGGGACACCTCCCACCAGACCAGGTTGCTCCAAGCCCCATCCAGCCTGGCCTTGAACCCCTCCAGGGATGGGGCAGCCACAGCTTCTCTGGGCAACCTGGGCCAGGCTCTCACCACCCTCACACCAAAGAAGTTCTTCCCCAGATCTCATCTCAATCTCCCCTCTTTCAGCTTAAAACCCTTCCCCCTCATCCTATGGCTCCCCTCCCTGATGAAGAGTCCCTCCCCATCTCTCCTGGAGCCCCTTTAGGGACTGGAAGGGGCTCTAAGTTTTCCCCAAAGCCTATGTAACAGCAGATTTTCAGAATATGATACAAAAGTGCTCCTCTAACTTTTGGGTTTTTTGTAAAGGAAGGTGTAACAAAAGTCAGTATTTGTGGATGCAGCAAAAAGGTCAGGCTCAGGTTTAGTTACCTGCCCATTTTGATTTCTTATTTTAATCATGTTATCACTCTAATAGCTTAGATGAAGAGGTACCCGTTAAAAAAAACAGGGTTGAACCGAAATGAGAAGTTGAAATTAACACACTTATAATTTAAAAAGCAATTATTTATGGTTACTTCTGACTGACGACATTATCCAACGTTTCCTAGAAAAGACAGGGGGAACTGCCAATGCTACTTCACTGTTTAGCCCAAAAAAAAAGCCTAAGGAGGGAAGAAATCCTGGCTGGGCACAGCTCCAACCTACAAAACCCCACCAAAATTTACCTTCAGCTGTCCATCAGCTGTTGCAAGTTTCTGTAACACTTCTGTCTCTTTCCATCATACACTTATTTTGTCTAAATACACCTGCGGTTTTTCCCACTTCATTTACCTTGATCTGCTTTTAGTTTAATAACTGATTTAAGGATGTTCTTCAAATGCAACTGGTTTGTGGACCCTCCCCCCACTCCCCAAGAGAAACAGGATTCTTTAGATAAAACCATACATTTTTTTCCCCCTTCTTTAAATACACTCTTAAAGCTAATTACATTATTAATGTACCATACCATTACTTGGTATCAGCTCCATGTCCCAAGGGCTCATCTTCTCAGTGTCACCGTTGTCCCAGCTTAAAAACAAGGCACGTTTCATTTATCCACCAATATTGCTTCAACAATGTCATTATTTAATGTTTCTAACATATTTAGACACGAGTATAATAATGAACTGGCAGCGAGACGCATGACTGAATTTAAGGAGAGCGAGTTGCTCAGTCAGTCATTTCAAATGAACTAACTAATTAAAAGCAAAGATTGCAGAGAAGTTTGCTGACCAGACGTTGTAGCACTGGAACAAGCTATCGGGGTAGTCGGGCTGGAGAGGCTCCTGGCTCTCGATGGTCCCAAACCACCACGCGTCGTCTATCACAGACCTGAAACGATCGCCTGGGTGAGAACACAAAACAACACCATCAGTGCAAGGCTCCTCGCTCCTCCCCCCCCAAAAAAAGCAGCTTTTTTGGATACTTTCGACTCGATCCCGAACACAGAAATCCCTTTGAACACTTGGAACATCAACAGGCAAACATGAGTCACGCTCAGGTTAATTAAATTCTTTCCAAAGGCTGCTTTTAAAGTAAAATGAAAGTTAACAGAGCATTAAAAACACAATGATTTGCAAACCTCTCCACATAGTCTTTATATATGAATTTATTTCTTAATTTCATATAAAAGGTAAGACATTTCAATGCTGGAACTCCAAGACTGAAATTTACTTGCATCAAACACTATGTGCTGCCTTAAAATAACTGAATACTTTCTGTGCTGCTGAGCTCCTCCTCCTCCTCACCAACCCAAACCTAACTCAGAGGTTTAGTCCCTCTCCTGCGCAAGGCAATCCGACTGATAAAAGAATAAAATTTATTAAAGCTTCTTCAAAAGGTTAGCAAAGTCATTTGCTGTGACTTGAAATGGTTTCGCCGCCGCGGAGCCTTCGTCTCGCTGCAAAAAAAGGTCAGAAGCGTTATTAAAAAAAAAAAATTACACATGAGAGTGTGTGTACGCCAGGCCAGCAGGAACTCCAACGCCTTCTGTAACACACCACAGAACTCAGAAACAATTTTTAGTGCATTTGGTTCCCTTAATACAAAACCAAATGTAATTTAAGTCTGAGATTCCAAGAACCGCACACTTCTGTTTTCCTGGGATTTGAACTGACACACACTTTCTCAACAGCCACAATGTTTTTGGTTTTTTTTTTCTATTTCAATATCTCCACCTTCCACCCAAATGCCAGCTGCAGTTGTCCAAATTAACAGGGAGTAAAGATATTCTCAAAAATGTTCCACTTTCTTTACCGCATCTTTTTTTTTTTAATAGTTTAATGGATTGCCAATAATTCTAGGACAATTACAAAGCTTCCATTAATAGTTTAATTAATAGAATATTCCATTAATAGAAATACTTCCATTTCTGATTTTGCATTTCAGATAAGGAGCTGATGCTTTATTTTGAAGGAACCTGGTAGCCATGCAGTTGTAATAGGGCCTTCAATCAAAAAAAAAAAAGACAGAAGCAACCTACAGGCTACAGGAAGTTACCAGTTCCCAACAAACACCATGTTTTTATAACATATTCTTATTTCCTCTTTGCAAAGACACAGCTGAGATTTCCTTTGCCCTTTCTCTTACAGATCACCTTCAGTGTTTCGTTTCCTTGCTGCAGCTTTGGTCAAGGACAAAGCAGGACTCCACACCCAAACACCCACAGAGCTCATTCTCCCATTTCAGCACAGTGTCAGGATTTATTTACCATAACTGACTTTTTAATAAATAATCATGAAAATAAGGAGACACTCAGAAAAACAAACAAAACCCCTTGACTTTTTAATAAATAATCATGAAAATAAGTAGACACAAACAAAACCCCTCCCCCCCCCCAACTCACCTATGTTCCATCGCCTGTGTTTCGCATCGTCAAACTGCTGCCTCAAAACTAGGAAATCTATCACGTCGGGCATGTCGTGGTACCTAATTACAACACTCACCTATGTTCCATCGCCTGTGTTTCGCATCGTCAAACTGCTGCCTCAAAACTAGGAAATCTATCACGTCAGGCATATCGTGGTACCTAATTACAACAGAACACACCACTATTAAGCCATAAAACAGCAAAAGCACGAAGCAAAGCACTTATGTAAAAAATTAACGCTTTGAATTCAACACTTCTCAAGCCACGACATTAACGGTATCTGAACTTTGAACCCCTTCCCTCAAAAAAGCCCCCCCATTTCAATATAATATTGTTTTTCTTACTTCATGGTGAATGATCCTCCCGTCAGTTTACCCGTGTCAGGGTCAAGAAAGGCGAGTTTTAGGCAGCAGAGAGTAGGCAACCCCACTTCATACTTAATCCCAACTATTTTCATCAGCTCTTGCTCCTGGAATAAACAAACCCATGATGTCCCACCACTGTGGTGAAGGAAACTATAATAACTATAAAACCATGTAAATATGGGAATACTGGAAAGACCAGATTTCTGCCAGAACACAGCAAAATCAAGTATGTGAAACGTAGTCTTTCAAAACAAGCTGTTATTTCACAATGTGAGTTCTTTGAAAAGTATTTTGCCGTGAAGTGGAACCACCTCATCTAAAAACTACAGTTTAAGGTCTGATTTCATTTGACTATTTGAAGTTAATATATTAAGGGAAAAAAGCGAAGAGCACGACATTAGAAACATCTGTATCAAGAATCTTAGAATCACAGAATGGTTCAGGTTGGAAGGGATCTTAAAGCCCATCCAGTTCCAACCCCCTGCCCTGGGCAGGGACACCTCCCACCAGACCAGGTTGCTCCAAGCCCCATCCAGCCTGGCCTTGAAAGGGATGGGGAAGATGGATCATCTTCTTTCAGTTGGTTTCCAAACTTTTTAAATATTAAGATACAAACAAAACTAAAAAAAGAAGCCATACCCGTAATTCCATTTTATGCCATGGTTGTTTCTTGGGATTAATACTATATATTTTATTCTTCTTGGCCATTACAACGTAGGCTTCGTGACCTTGTCGGAAATAGTAGACCTGAAAGTGAAATGTGACCATTAGTGAACGAAGACTTTGAGGGGCTGAAATGCCAGCGCGCAGTGCCATGCAAGGGGTTACTTTCTATTTTATCATCAATTTCTTTCCATTCCATTCTCCTGCAAAAGACCCCAGGATCTCCAAAAATTAAGTGGTGGACAAATAAAGCAGGTATCACAGAAAGATTTACAGAAAAAGGAGGAAAGATCCAAAATGACACCCATGAGACCAAAAGGCAATCGTAACGAACCCACGGGTTTATCATCACACCAGAGAACTGTTCAATGACACCAAGATGGATTCCACTGATCCTCCCAGTGACCCATCGCTGCAGGACAGCCCCTAAGGTGACAATCACATGTCACTACAATCACTGTCTGGTTAGTCAAAGCTTTTTTGAACAAGAAATATATTCTAGAGGGAAAATTTGACACTGTTCTGGTAAGAGCATGGTATTTGCTTCCATTCCACCTAACGAGCAGCCTAACGAAGACATCAACAAACTGAAAATGGACATTTCAAGTGCTTATTAAAAATTTCCCAATCCTTCCACTACAAATTTCCACAGTTTGGACATCCAGAGCCTGTGAGTTTTATTTTGATCCTTGGTGTATGATCCTGCACGGATGAACGGCTTTGTTAGAAACCATCGCTGTAATGAAGTAGGAAGCTCAAAACCTTAAATGTATATTCACAGAATCTCTCTGAAATGCAAAACAGAGGTTCCTCAGACTAATTAGAACAAAGATCTGATAAAGAGCTGCATTCCAAACAAAAAAAAATGTCCTCTAGAAATTCCCTAAGCCATAAACACGGGGTTTCCACCAAGCAGGGAGTGAGTCTGGCTTAAAGGTCAGACAGAACAAAAAACAAAGGGGAGTGAAAAGCCCCTCAGTAAATTTTAAAATACATTTTTACCAATAAACACACCAACATCTGCATTTCCACACGCTCTCCAGTGCTGTCAGAACCTACTGGCAGGAAAAGCAAGAGGCTCCTGAGACACAGATCTAAAATAATGCCAATTTAATTGAAATTACACTTTCTACCTGTGACTATTGTTTCCTGGTACTTTCCAGCGAATCAAACAAAACAAATTAAAAAAAAAAAAAATCCATTTAGTGGGGCTGGCTCCTGACAATTCCTCCTACATTTAGTGATTCTGCTCAACTTCTAGAGAAATCCAACCCACTGTTTACAGCAGGGAAATGATTTTATTTTGTAAATGGCTCTAAGCACTGCAGCTCCTGTGGGAAGAACCAAAGATACCTGTGGAATAGAGAATAATGCCTTTTTCCAGGAAATTATATTTTTGATCTTGATGAATTCCTGCTTCTTTTTTTTTTAAACAAAACCAGTCTTTATGGTGTTAATGGCAGACTTCTCCAGCAAATATCATCGTGTTTCGATAACCAGATGGGGACATGGCAGTCATAGTTTTTCCAGGAAATTATATTTTTGATCTTGATTAATTCCTGCTTCTGCATGTTTGCATTTTTTTTTTAACAAAACCAGTCTTTATGGTGTTAATTGCAGAATTCTCCAGCAAATATCATCATGTTTCGATAACCAGATGGGGACGTGGCAGTCATAGAGTCATAAAATTTGGAGGCTGGAAGGGACCTCCAAAGGTCATCTAGTCCAAATCACCAGTCCCATCTCCCTGCTGTGTCTCTGCTGCTCCTCAAGACACACCACAAAGGTCTGTAAACACCAGTATCCAGCAAGGAAAAGGGATGGTACGTGCTATTCTTAGGCACTGAGTATAACTAAATATAGCCCTGCTGGGTTTCCTGACTTGTTTGTACAGCTGTAGGAATGAATCTCAACTATCTCTCCTCCCAAATCTTACACAACATACCCACCACCCACCAAAAAGGCCACCCAAGACTTCTTCTCATCCTCTCTCTCTAATTAAACCGATCTTTTATTTCTGTGCATCTCAAAAGTAACTTTCTTGAGCAAATCTGGGGAGAGCAAGTAGCAGAGATGGAATGTCAGAGCCAGCAGCCCCACTACAAACGGGCTCTCTGTTGGTGCAACTACTCCTTTCTAGGCACAGAACCTCCTGTTCACCAAAATAAAGCATTTTTTCAGCAAAAGGAGGCATCCTGCTTAGATATTCCCAGTAGACACCACACTCCAGTACCACAGCACAGTGTCCTGAGGAACAGGGATCACCTTCTACCCGATACCACTCATTTGTACAAATAACTATACCATTCACATGCTACATATTCCCCAGTATAAACCGGTGGGGACCCCTTTGCTACTCTATTTTGAGACATCTGGGCCACATTTACCAAGTGTTTACAGCCCAGTTCATATAAAACACAGATATACGAATATATACTCTATATATATGTACACACACACACATATATATGGGTTTCTGTTGTAAGAGACCAGGAGAAGTTTTCTGATATCAGAAGCACAATCAAAAAGGACAATATCAGAGTTTTTATTCAAAATAAATGAATTTAAAAAAACAAACAAACAAAACCACCACGAAAAACCACCCAGAGTTTTAATTCCTCTTTTTTAACTTCAGGTCCCAAATGGATATTTTCCAAACAACTTAAATTCACATTTCATTTCTTACCTATTCTTCAGCATACAAGCTGCTCTACAACTAAGGACTAGTTTGACTGGATGAAGCACCTCCCATGTCTGTATACACGTGTCAGAAGGACATTAGCACACCCAACACAGTACAAGAAGGAATGTTACTGCCACAGCATGGAATAAAAAATGCCAAAGCAACAATCTGCAGAATATTTTTGAAGTATGGGAAAGACTAAAGGAAGCAAAAGCACATTTTAGTCAGATCAAAGAATGTTTTGAAAAAAAATCCAAAATATTCTGGGAATAACTCTCTGGGAAAAATCACAGAATCACAGAATCTTAGTGGTTGGAAGGGACCTCTGAGATCATCGAGTCCAACCACCAAAAAAAACCCCAAAAAAACCAACCAAACAAACAAACAAAAAAAAAAAAAAAAAAAAAAAAAAAAAAAAAAAACCAAAAAAAAAAAAAAAAAAAAAAAAAAAAAAAAAAAAAAAAAAAAAAACCCAAAAAAAAAAAAAAAAAAAACACACCCCTCTCTCCCTGCAAAAAAACCCCAAAGCCCCAAACCTAACCCCCCCCCAAACCCTCCAATCTTCTGACTGCTATAACAGATGGCTAGTAATCACACTATATTGGTGTAAATGTCTTGCTATAACCAAGATTTTGCTGATTTTTAGGACAGGCACTCAGTGTAACAAGTCACCTTGAGACAGAGTTCACAGGGTTGTTCTGCACACACATCTAGTCTGGTTTTTTTTCTGCTGGGCAGATATGAGTCGTTGAATGAAGTGTGATTCACTTCTTACTCCCAGCAGCCAAGCAGTACAGCTGTAGAGCTGCTGAGCAGGTATTGCATTGCGGCCTCAAGGTACAGCAATCAGAGGAAGTGAATTGTGTGGTACAGGGAGCATGTTAAGGAACTTTATGCATGAACTGTTATAGTAGATATGGTCAGTTTTGCTTTACGTTCATCATGTTTTCAAATAAACTTTGGGTCAGAATACATAAAATAACATTTACGTATCTGCTTACAGATGAGATTAAAGATGGAGCTGTGGAAGAAATTGACTTTAAACAGAAATCATAAAATTTAAAGCAGTAAACATTAACACAGTTACAGAAAATCATAGTTATTAGCTGATTGTTTTTAGAAAACAATTACTAAGGTTCAAGAACACTGATGTGAATACCAATGCTTTGTTGTGTGAGAAAACAAGATTTGATATTTTCCAGTGTTGTATCTCATTTACGTAGAATAAAATAGAATAGACTGTTTCAGTTGGAAGGGACCTACGATGATCATATAGTCCAACTGCCTGACCACTTCAGGGCTGAACAAGTTAAAATACATTTTAAGGAAATTGTCTAAAT